GGGCAACGCGGGATGGGGAGGGAGGGTTATGCAATATCCAACCGCAAACCAAGGAGGCTCTGCCCTCCTCACATCGCACTTTGTATCAGTATCCGAGCGTCTTTCTCCATGGGACACCAACGCAATTCCGATCTCCCCCATGATGATGATGATGATGCAGAGGATGACGATGATGTTCCCCTTGGGGGAATGAGTGGAGAGGTGGGAAAAGTAACATGGGACGAAACGTGGACATTTCCCCAAGATTGACGAACGGTGAGACTAAGCATGATGACCTTGTTCCTAATTTTGTAGAATACATAACATCGACTGTTATGGCCGTCCCTCCGTCAGGTGAAGGTATTATCCATGATGAAAAGGGCCATAACGGTGAACCATCCTTATTGCCTTGGCCTCGGCATCTCCCATACGAGAAACCAAGCCCAGGGTTCGGCATGACGGGAAGGGATATCGCTGACTGTCAATTCCCACTCTGCAATTTAGCCCATGCAAATAGCGAGCAGCATCAATGAACTCTTGCTCCAAGAAATGCGATCTTTAGGTGTGGCTTACTGGGCTGCGAGTCCTGGCTTTGTGAACCCAGGTTGCCACGAGGTTGATTTGGCAGCCATGTCAAAAAAGTCTCTCGATACGAAAAAAAAAAAAAAAAGGTTCACGTGAAATTAAATCACCAGAGTTTAACGGGCGGTGGTGACGTCGCAACCGACTTCGTATTCCCTTCTGACTGATTAGGAGGTAGAATAAAAAAAAAAGACACAGGCATATCCCAGGAACCAGAAAGTGGGCATACTCCAACCGTTGGGTTCCCTCAAGATGGGATTCCCCTTTCTCGGTCAGCCGCCGACAGATGAAGCCTGCGCCTACTCTACGGTGGTCTATCTGAAGAAGGAGAGAGCCGCAGGTAGAGCGGGCACCACTCCCGCTTGAACCCCTCCCTCCTTCTACTTAGGGCAATCGAGGATCCAAGATTGGGTTCGACTCCCATATTATCCTGCCAGATCGGACGAGGCAATGCGTTTCCAACAAATGAATCCGTGGCCTATCACCATTACTATACCGATGATTAAGAACAGATGGCGGCGAGTCCGACCAACAAGTTGAGAATAGAACCACATGGTCTCTATTTCAGTGCAAAAAAAGTGGCCTTTGCTTTCTTGCTTGTTCCCACCTCCTTCTGAACTGTCACAAGACGGCTGTGTAACCGTGTTCAGATACTGAAAAGAGGTATTCGGCGGCTAACGCCGAACCGCGGAGAATATGGGGCTGAAGTAAGGGGAGGGAGGGGTGGAAGGAAGGGGGATTGACCACAGCTATTCACTCGCGATGGCGGTTTTGATTCAAACTGAAACCGATGTGGTTGGCTGGCAACGGCCACGTTAAGCAGGAATGCCCGCCCACGGGAAGGAACCGAAAACATTCACGTTCTAGACTGGCTCAAGGGGTTCGGCAACGTACGAGCTTGTAAGGGCGAATGTGTTTGACCACAGACATGGCGAGCAAAAGAGAGGAACTCTGCAACGACGGAATAGATTGATCGACTGATCCATCTCACACTCACGGACGACATAGAGGCCAAACGAGCCTTTGAAAGTGCACATAAACAATCAACCGGCCGAGAGAGGTCGGACATTGCCCCAAAAAGACAAAAATAATTATGGAAACTATGGGTTGTAGTGGGACACTACTTCGTCACAAGCAAGGAAGCGAGTCTTAGCTCAGGAATGAGGGAGAAAGTACTAAGCAGGAGCAACCGGAGAGTCGGTATTGGGGAATTCTCTTTTGTTTTTTTGGGCATTCTTTGCAAGGGTGTTGGATGAAAGCACAGGACGCCAGGAGGCTCCAACCGAGGCTAACAACTACCACTGAACCAGTTGTCTGGTTGTCTGGCTTGCTGGCTGGCTCGCTGCCAGAAAGACTGGGGCCAAGAACGATCTGGCAGCCGAGACGAGGCACCGAGAAGGACGATCATTCGAGGTTTGTGTGTGTCCCATCAATCCAACCAAGGTCAGGGAAGATGAGGAAAAAAAAAAGGTTGGAGGTTGATCATCAGCCCACACAAACTAGGTCGCTGCGCTGACACTCGGCTAAAGAAACCTGTTGCTCTTTATCAGCCCTGGATTGGATAATTGGAACTTGGACTTTTGACAGGCCTGTCACTTTATCCCGTGTTATTGTTTTGGATGGAACGTCCGAGAGTTTCTTTGCAGCAAGGCCACCACTGATGCGGTCACTGTGACTCTACCGCCGGCGTATGCAGTAGTGAGTAAGTAGTACCGTTCGCCTTGTTATGAACGTGCGGGAAATGCGTGCAAACATGTCACTGCAGAGGTTTCTGTTCTGTACACAGAGAAAAAAAATTCAAAACAAGGCTCCTTCTGTTCTGGCTTGATGACCATGACCGGAAATAAAGTACGAGCCCAGGAACACCCGAGGGCAAAACCCGAAACCGCAGAGGCCGTTCCTGGACCGTCCTGACGCGCTCCAGCAGAGGGGGGCCTAGCCTCCTGAGATCCATTTTGGTAGGGGGCAGTTTGTATCAACAAGAGCAGGTAGTGTTGACAGTAGAGGAGGAGCAGAAACCAGACTCGGGAGAAAAGCAGCGGGAGCATGATATCCGTACGTCGGCGTCACAATCGCTACTACTGTTACTGTGCAGCAGAGTACTAGTAGGGAATATTGAAATGGTTCAAGCGCAAACTTGCAGAGGGCACCTCAGACTCATAGAGACAAGAGACGAAGGCAAAATATTAAAATTAATCCCCTGCCTGCACCAAATTGGACCTCCCGAGACTCCCATTGGTCGTATGTTGGCGCCGAAGCTGGGCTGCACAGCGCTACCGCAGGCGCATGGGCTATTAATAGCCCCTGGTCATGTTTCGCAAAACACCCTCAAGTCACGATGAAGCCTGTGGCGGCCATCCGTTCCCCACTTTTCCCTGCCTCTTGTGCCTCCAGCAAAGTCCAGCACCCACATTCTAGGTAGTTGCACTTACAACGTCCCCACTTCACAAAGCCTCTCTGATATTCAGACCCCACTTTTCCGTGTGGGCGATGAGTGTGAGAGTGAGGAGCCCTGGCTTGGTTTTCTGCCTCCTTTGAAGTCCTGCGACCAGTCACCGTCAACCATTTGCATCTTGCAGCTTGCAGCGCAGCGGCACCTGTCCGTCCTCCCATCTTCCCCCTCACCTCTCTCTCTCTTTTTCTCGTTCCGCCTGTCTCATTCGTTCTCATCAGCATACCCTACTTACTGCCTGTTGGATGTGTTTATCGTAATCCGACCACGGCCTCTACTCGTTGCGATGAGAACCGGCAGGGAACTCTTAGTTGGGGGGGGCAGAAGAAGGTTTATTAGCACCACATAGTAGTTATGACTTCATCCGCCCGTTTGCGCTTCTCTCGAATGCCCTGGTTGTAGTGGCGCTCTCTCTCTCTCTTAACCTCCCACTACTCTAAGCACCACAACAATGAATCCCCCCAGCGAGGTCCCGCCCCATGCATACTGGTGTCAGCAACGCCTTGCCGTGCCTTGCCCCTCCAGGTGGTCCAGGTCCGGGTCCAGGTTCAGGCCCGCCGCCCGCCCAGCTAAAGTGGCCTGTAACCTACTGCAAGTGCGCGCTCTCACTCGCAGCTGCTCCAGCGGACGCCGACCCTTCTGTAATGATTCCTTGTCTTGCCCCCCCACTGTTCAGTCGGTACAGCCTCCCCCCCCCGGCCAATGTCGACGAGTGTCGTGTGTACGTAGTAAGAAGGAGGGTAAAAAAAAAAAAGAGGAAGCGAAAAATGGGCACCCCGTAAAGACAAGATACGTACTTCAGCGTACAGCGCCGCCTTTCCCTTTTTGGATCGCCCAAAGGATACGTACCCCGGTACCTTACGCACCTGTTGCGGGAGCCACTAGCAGCCCAGAGAAGGACCCCTACCCCGGTCATCTCAGCCAGCAACTAACCCTGGTGCCCTGGTGCCCTGGGGGACCCTCCCACCACCCGTTGACTTCCAGGCCAGCATCTCCAGGCCAGACCCAGCCCAGTCAGTTGCCCTCGTCGACGAGCCCATTCTCTCCAGTCGCCTACGCCTGTGCCTGCGCCTGCGTCGTTCCCAAACCAAACCAATCCCTTCCTACTGCCTCCCACTCCGTCTCCTCTTCTCTGCCACCTCTCGAATCCTTCCATTCGATTTTCAACTACTTCCACCCACTCCCCTCCCCATTCCGATTTCTTTGCCTCTTCACCTCCTCTCCCAATTCTGTTCCGGCGCTTCACGCTTTCTGCTGCCAGCCAACCCTTTTCCCTTTTACCCGCCTTGTCCAATGCTTCCGTTTTGACGGTGCCACACATATTCTTCTCCTACAGCATGTGCTAACCACGAGCCGCCGTTTTCGTCGTGTCCAGTAGCCATTGTTTTCTCTCTCACTCCCACCCCATTCTTCTCTCTACCAACTTGCCTTGCCTACCTTTACTGCTACTATTACCTTTTCTGCTCCTGCATCCTCTACTTCTCTTGTACTTGAACACGACAACTTCCCAAAAAAACACTACGCCAGGCCCCCCGCCGCATACGAGTAACCGCCCCCGCCTACCGACCCCGTTCTTGTCGCGAAGCCTGGTCACCTGGTCCTGCTGCGGTCTCTATCCGGTACCACCCCGAGTACGAGGAGGAAGTGAGCATAGAAACATACTTCGGTCCTTCCGAGACTGGACCTCTACAACCACTTAACCAACCAACCACCCCGCGGAGGAAAAGGAAAACAAAAAACACCAAGCAGTGACGGGATTCAGCAGCGCTGTCCTCCGATCTAACATCCTCTTCGATTTCTTGAACAACCCGCGATTACGCTCTTTCACCAACAAAACGCCATCATTTCTTTAACTATTTCGCCAACGGTGCCCCTCTCGGCCCTCTCAGTCTCGTCGCCCGAGACCGCCGCCAACACGTTTCCGTCGCGCAAGAGGAGAGAAAGAGAGAAGGGATTTGGGCAGCCAATTCCCAAGGTGCACAAAACCATGCCGTCAGCAGCGGCAAGACGGATCTACGAGGATCAAATCCCCTCTTTCATGTCAGTCTTCGATCTCGACGCCGAGACAATCGCCGCCCAGGAAACCGTCACCCTCGTCGACCCCAAGTTGATTGAGATGGAGGCCGCTGGAAAGCCGTTGGGCAACCCCGTCCAACACCTCCGACCGACAATACCTTCGGATCCCACGCACAAGCACCACGACAGCACTTCTACCCAGGCATCCGAGTCTGCAGAGTCATCTCCCACAACAACGCTGTCCACAAGTGATTCCTCCCCATTGTCAGACCCGTCGCCTTCCTCGTCCCCAGACTCACCTGTCAATCTCATCCCTCTGTCCTCCTTCCCGGCAACCTCCTTCGGCGCTCTCCCCCCAATGTCCTCCATGAACACCCTCACGGTGTCGGACACCTCGAGCTTCGGCCGGCCAATGACGTCTCCTTCGCCGCGCCGCCCAAAGAACATGAAGGGTCTGTCTATCCAGCCGCCTTTCATGGGCAACACCGCTACAACGCTCGTGTCTGAGCCCGCATCGCCCTCTTTCATCAAGCCTACAATCCCGGCAATGAAGCGCAAGCCTAGTCAATTGAGCCTCAACACCAAGACTTCCGATCTTGTCATGCGGAATACTTTGGAGGTCCCAGGCACGCCTGGAATGGCCCCGATCATGCAGAGACGTGCTTTGAAGCACTCGACTTCCTCCCCCCACATGCTGCCCTCCTTGAAGTCGGCAACATTCGGTCCTCCAGGTGGTATGACCTTCCCCAAGGTGTTGGAGCGCAATGAGTCGGGTTTGTCGGAGCTGTTGAGGCCAACAAAGACAGGTGTCGGTTCCTCCTTCGATACTACCATCGTCGAAGAGGACTCCCCGATCAGGACGCAGCTCGCCAGCCGCGCTGCGCTCGATTTCGAGCCGTACCACGAGCACGAAAATAACGAGGACCAGAAGACTCCCGGTTATCCGGATGGTCCGATTGCCATCTACGAAGACAACGTCTATCTCTACCTAGAGCCGACAGCGGAGGAGGCCTCGAAGTTTGACACTGTTATCAATGTCGCGCGGGAAGTAAACAACCCGTTCTCATTGCTGCCAAAGCCTGATGTGCAAATGATGGACTCCCCTGCCGTCCTAAGCCCCATCCCCGACACTGCTGTGTCAACTGCCAGCTTTTCCACGGCATTCGAGTTTCCCACCGAGGGAAAGTCCGAGACCCCGACAACCCCCAAGGCAATGTCATTCTCGATCAAGCGCCCAGAGTACATTCACATGCCCTGGGATCATAACACAGATATCGCGCAGGATCTCATGCATCTATGCGAAACTATCGAGGCGCGAACAAAGGAGGGCAAGAAGGTTCTCGTCCACTGCCAACAAGGCGCAAGTCGATCTGCCAGTCTCATCATCGCCTACGGCCTTTACCGGAATTCCGACCTCAGCGTTAATGATGCCTACTACGCGGCGCAGGAAAAGAGCAGATGGATCAGCCCCAATATGAAGCTCATGTACTGCTTGCAGGACTTTCAAAAGCAGGTCTCGAAGAAGAAAGCTCCTCCCGGATCAGCCTTCCGTCCGCGAACTGGACGCAGCCCCACCAAGCACCGCTTGACACTGTCTGCGGATGCTGCCATCGACACGACGCCCAAGGAGCCCATGACAGCCCCCCTGCCAGGAGAGAATGAGGGCAGCTCTGGGAACTCGAGCCCGAAGAGAGGCAGTCCCACTCGGGCTCGTGGTCTGTCGACGCCTGCTAGCCAGCCAATATCACCTGGTCCCTCATCAGCACCATCGAGCTTCTCATGCTCAGAAAGCGAGAGCAACTCTGCAAGATTTGGCAAATTTGATATCGATCGATTGCTTCCGCAGCTTAACCCGCCTCCCTCTGATACTGGCTTTGCATCATCTTCGTCTTTTTTCGCAAAGCCGCCACCGTCGCCTGGTCCTCCTCCTTCACCTGGATTTGGTGCACACCGATTTGGACCCTCCGCAGGTTTTGGGTTCTCAAGCTTGAACCTGGGCCCGTCACAAGAGCACGAAGCGGAGGAAAAGCTGCCTAAGCAATCAAAAGAACAGCACGTCGCAGTTGCGCTACCTAGCGATGCGGCACTTATGTCGCCGAGAGCCGAGACAATGACGAACAATCCGCTGCACGGCTCTTACAGCGAATTCGCTGGTATGCGATTTGTTGAAGTGCCGCCAACTCCTAGCGAAGGTCTGTTCTCGCCTCGAGAGACAATGTTCCCCAGGGATCCTTTTTTCCCCTTTGGACGCCCCACTCAAGTTGCCGACCCACGAAGTCCGCCTACAAGAGGTGAAACGCCAATTGTGAGGTCTATTGATGAGCTGCTATGACCGCAGTGCGGGACACACCGCCACTAGCGACTAGCACCAAGCCCGCGGAATTGGACTAATTCGGCGTTACTCGGTCGGACTAGGGCGGCCAATTTCATCTTGGTCATCACGCAGCGACGCAGCGAAGTTGATGGCGTGAGTCAACACGAGGTTGCGGCCAGCATCCGAAACAAGTGCGCACTAAATAAGCCAGGGTTTATTTCTCTTCACGCTGAGCGTCAACATGGCATTTGCAGGCGTAAAACCGTTCTGGAAACACAAGGGCCTTGGCTGGGAATCACGCTTCCGAGCACTGCCGACGACTCCATTGACCTCGTCGACAACCGATTACAAAACTCCAGAAGTCTAGCGATCATTTAGCCGGCATTTCATTTGTCTTTTTTTGAGAGCCTTCTTTTCAGAGAGCAGCGAGTGGCGAACTGGCGGTTGGTTTCGTCACGAAGCACTAAGCAAAACGTACTTTACTACCATAAACCGAAATGTGTAATCTAGAATCGAATCCCCTGGGCGCGATATATAGGAACGAAAACGTGGGACTTCCAACCCATTTGGACACGGAAAGGGCAAGGAAAGGGGTTCGGCCATCATTATTTTATTCTTGTTTTGTTCTCGCCGTCGTTTTCACGCAACACATTTTGTTCGCTTTGGGAGTTGGGGAGGGTATCAGGCACACAGGTATCTCACGAAGGCCATGTTGTTTTATACCCTACGGGGGACTGGCTTGCTTGGAGAGGAAACGGTCGTCGTGCATTCCCGAAAAAAAGAACCGGACGCCCTTTAAGTCTTGTTGGGTCATTTTCGGGTTTTCAGTTTACTTTTTTTTTTTTTTCTCTTTTCTTTGTACTGCGGTTCATCTACGGATGATAACCGCCCATATGCATAAGGAGTCCAGGGGAGAGGGATGAGATGAGGATACCATGACTGCATGGCCCTAAGGAGTGGTAGATGACTTGAAAAATGAGAAAACGCACTTGAAAGTGTGTCAGTTAAAAAAAGTTCTGGTTCCTGCGTTGTGATTGGAGAACATTGGTGAATGTAATACACGAACGTGATTTCAGAAAGGAACGCACGATGAACGTGTGTAGAGACAGTACTTTGAACAAGTTTTGAAGCCGTGCAGCAGCAGCAATGGATTCAGCCAAAGGACTCTACTACTACTACTATGAGATGTTCAAGCATAGGAGTTGTTCACTATTATAACGCCTACTACGCACATGCATACCACGACCTGGATCCACAAAAGCTCTGGACACCATCACGACGGAGAACATGACGATGCGATGAAGTTGAATTTGATATCCCAAGTCCATGGACTTAGCGTAATCTATCTGATGAACCGCCGCCGAACGCCGGACAGACCACTTATTGGGTCATGTACATGTGTATATATATATTTTTATGTATACAACGCCACTTAGGGGGGATCAAAAAAAAAGAAAAAAGAAAAGAAAACAAAACCGGTTGGATATCTCAAAAGGGGTTCTTTTTTTGAAAACTGAACAGGAAATACATTATCCGTCGATGTGTGCGCAATATTGAGAGATTCAGAGTAGACGGCAAACACTCCTCTTCATATCCCCATCTTCTGGTTCCCTGTCTCTTAATTGGCTGCGTTGCATGACAGAACTCTTCAATGTGATAATGCTTTGCCGATAGATAGACGGAAGAGCAGACATGCGAGAGATGGAGATGACAATTGGGTGCAACGGATGAAATAAAAAGTAAGGCGGCGGGCGAGAATGCAATCTACTGCGTCTTACCGGCGGCGGCGGCACGCTTCGCGGCTTCCTTGGCCTGCTTCTCCTTGGTCGCAATGCGGGCTTCCGCACCGATGGCACCAAAGACAAGAGACACGCCGAGCCACTGCATGTTGGAAAGGCTGTGGCCGAAGGCGAAGACGGAAAGGGCCATTGTGACCATCTTGCGGGTGACAGTGACTGTAACGAGGAGAACGGAAGAGAAAGTAGAAAGGGTGTAGACTGTGATCAGTTAGATAGTCCGAAACTTGAAAAGAACATACAACTAAATGTATGTGTATGTGAGTGAGAAGAGAGAGGAACAACTCACAGATGAAGACCTGTCCTACAGCACCGCACGCGGCAAAGCCTAGCACATCCCACCAGACCGCAGGGTATCTCGCCATGAATCCGAGTGCGGCCTTCAGCTCCCCAGCGTTGCCTGCAACGTCCATACCAAGATATTCACCCAGTCCAGTGTGCACCAACCAGGGGCTCAGGAGGAGATATCCGAGCGTGACGGCGGTGCTCATGAGGTTGTTGGCGCACATCATCTGCGGCCCGGTGTAGCCCTTGAACGTGCTGAAGATGTAGTCCTGGGTGCTATTGGTGAGACCGTCGAAGAGCAGGTTGATGGACAGCAACAGCATGCCCCACGGCATGTTCGCATCCGGGTTGACTACAGACTTCTTCTTCTTGCTTCCGGAATGCAGCGTGAACACTGCGACACCAGCAGTGACACCCGCCACAACGAGATATTTGTACAGAGGATATCGCTTGCCAAACAGTGTCGTGTGGAGTAGCATCACAGGCACCAGCTTGCATGACTTGGCGAGGAGGAAGGTTATATAGTCGATGTGGCTCAGACTCGCATATCCGAAAGGAGAGGCGAGGGAGGATGTGACTGCGACTAGGGCCAGAGGCCAGAAGATTTTGCGAGAGGGGAAGACAGGTGGGATGGAGGCGGCGTTTCGGGAACTGTAGAATAGGTATAACAGACCCGTGGTCGCGGCGAACAGAGACTGGATGGTGTTAAGGAAGACGGGATACTTGAAGACTTCCGGCTTCGAGGCTGGGCCATAGGGCGTCGTCGTGAGCTTTTCTTGCAGGTACGCCCATGTCAGGCTGCGGCAGGTCAGTCACATCTCTGTAGACAGAGCAGTGGGAAATCGTTGACGTACAATGAGGCGTAGATGCCGCCTACGGCAATCAAGATCTGCAATGCGCCAGCTTCCTTAGTCTCAGCGTACGCAGGCGCAGCGGCGGCCGTCTTGCCGTTGGCCTTTGTTGGAGCGCCGTTACTAGGCGTGCGTGAGAGGACATCTTGTTTAGAGAAGTACTCGGACGAAGTCTGTCGTCGGATAGGCGTGGCCTGCTTCGAACGCGCCATCGTTGCGGTTGTAGTGTCGCGGACTGAGTGCAGTCAGTGAGCGGGCTATCGGTCGCAATTTGCGTTGATCCAGCAAAAGGTATTTACGACAGAAAGGAACGAAACTTGCGTCAAGAAAAGGACAAATGGGAAGTCAAAGATAAATGATAAAAAGCGATTGTCAATCGAGGCAGCTTCGCACCGAGAGAAAAGAACTAAAGTTGAAATAGAAAGCCAGTGAGCGGAGGCAGAAGCGCCGATGTTGATGAAGGTCTAGGCTGATGACAGGTTGGCTTTATCCCAAATTAAAAATAAGGTGGGGAGCTTCCCTTACCTCACTTTAATCTGCTGGGCGGCCCCCCCCTGAACTCACCCCTTCCACTCAAGCCTCTTCAGGGTCCCCTCAACTGTCTGTTTGCGAACGGCCCCTAACCTTATCAGGAATCAACCCAGCCTGGTGCCTCCTCTCCGGATCGGCATCGCCAACAGGTACCCAGAACCCCGCGCAGCATTGGCCAATCACAAGGAGAGCGCATCCTGATCCTGGGCCTGCCATGCTTGCGCCGAATGGGAGCTTGAGCCCAGAGGACAGCGAATTGCTGCCCAAAAGCTTGGTTGATTTCAGTGGGCAGTCCTGTTGTTGAGAGTGGTTGCAGACAGAAAAAGGATTCAGCTCGCCGTAGCAAAGTGCCATGAAGACAACAGACTGAAATTGTGACTGTATGTTTCTATGTACTTCCACATCTTCTACAAAAACTACTTCAACATCACATTACCAAAAAGATTTTCATTTTGAGCGGCCTTGCTAAGGGGTATTTGTGTCTGCCTATCTATGGGTTGGTATCACTATCTAGAATCCTCCCGGTGTCGGTCATAAAGCCAATACCAGAGGCGTTCAAGAGCCCTCCCATAGCCCAAGACCAGCAGGGAATACTTGGCCACTAAGATGCGTTCGGTCCAGTCGAGGTAAAGAGGGGAAAAGGAGGTGGAGGTACGAGTGCATTGATGTCTGATGGTCGATGGCCGATAATCATTATTAATGTTCATTCGAAGCATAGCTTCGAAGAGGTATCCCGCGTCGTGAATCATGAAATGGCCTGTCACCTTTCGATGACTAGCCACCTGCCTATGTTCGTGTGAGTTCATACAAGCATCCCGATCCGTGGATCCTAGGATGTCTTTTGCCTGCCCAAACATTGACCGGAAAACCCTTCCTCCAAAATGAGCAAATTTGTCGCGTATTACGACTACAACTGAAAAGGTGAAAGCTGAGGGGCCACAACCTGCTGGTACCCACGTAGTGCTTCGCGTGTGCCTGAACCATTTGTCGGCCCAGAAATCAGAAACGTCGAGTGAGCAAAGAGAAAAGCGTTTTCGAGTCCCAGACCAAGGAACAGCTGTTTAATCAACTGCCCTAGATCAAGCCTTGCGGCCAAAGTCTGCAATGTTCGTTGTGGGAACGGGGACGAACTGAAAAGAGGTAACGTGGAAAATGCGTTTACTCAGAGGACGGGGCCTGGGAGCGGCGCATCTTCTCCGCCTCAAGGTTCTCGTACAAGAGGAAGAGAGCCGACTCATTAGCCTTAGCGGTACCCATGATAGTGAACATGCGCTCGCCGCTCTCATCATGAGGGGCCTAACGAATCACTGTTAGCACAACTTCAACAAATGACACAATATCATCATCTTACCTTGGCAATGGAGATACGGGCACCAGAAGTCTTGCGGATCTCGCTGATCTTGCTGCCAGCACGGCCAATGATGCAGCCAACCATATCAGCGGGGATGGAGATGTTCTGGGTCTGAATCTCCTCTCCATTCTCGTCGTGGGTGGGAGGGCCACGGGAGGCAGCATCTGAATCAGAGCGACGACCGTAGGGTCGAGTGGCACCACCGTTGCTGAAGTCGGCACCGTTGCCAGTACGCATGACACGGGGGCTGCTATACTCGGAAGAGCGGCCGCCAGCAGAGGAGTAGCTGCCGCTGCCACCCAGGGTACTGGTGGAACCAGGCTGGGTGCGGACGACAGGGTTGTACAGTACAGTGCCAGTACCACGCTGCCAGTCATCGACGAGACACTTGCAAATCTCCCAGATAGCAGCCTTGATACCATCGGGAGTGCCCTGGACCTCGACGATTCGCTCAGTAGACTGGGGAAGCATCTCCTTCTGAGCAACCATACGAACGCCAGAGACATCCTGGATGTGCTTGATCTTCAGACCTTGGCGGCCAATGATGGTGCCCATTTGGTTGTGAGAGATAAGAAGCTTAATGGCTAAGAGGCTAACATTAGTGACAATTTTCACTCATAAGCGTTAAGGAGGTACGTACGGTGAGTGCCGTTGTTCTGGACAACGCCTCCCATGCCCATAGCAGGAGCGCCCTCGAGAAGAGCTTGCGCGACAATAGCATAGGCCTTAGAAATGGCCTGGATCTCGCCAGTGATGGTGAGGACACGGTCATGAACGCCCTGGACAACCTTGGAGACGCCAGCCTTGACACCGGTCTCGTCGCGGAGATCAGCAACATTCTTGCCGGCCTTGCCAATGATCACGCCAGCCTCCTTTGAAGAGACAATGGCGCGAAGAGTGAGCTGAGAAACAGCATACTCCTCCTCAGTCCGGGGAGCGGGCTCTCCGTCGGGACCGAGTCTGGGCTCGCCATCATCGACCTTGAGGTGGTCAAGGGAGCCGGCAAGCTCATTGCCGTTGGCGGAAATGGTGTCCTGAACAGCAGACATGTTGATCGACCTGAGATATCGAGAAGTCGAAGGATAGGTGTGAGTAAAGACTTGGATAGCGTGGCGAAATCGGTCGCGTAGCTATCAGAAAGAACTGGGAATATACGTTAGTAAGATGAACCATTTTAAATAAACAATTAGACTTAAAAAAATCTACTGCTCGAAGATGTGAATATTGTGGAAGAAATAATGCTTTGGAAATGTGTTCATGGCTAAGGCCTATGGCATTGCAAATCTGCACTTGCGACCAGTTGTGGTGTCGCAGCAAGATGTGGGAAAGGGAAGATGCATGCGCAACTGAAGTACCTCTTGAATTCGAAAGGCAGCGGTCGTAATTTAAAGGAATGAAAAAAAAAAGAAAAAGAAAAACATAGAAGGGGATGGCCGTGGCAAGGTAAGTTTGCAGCGCAGAGGTGGTGAACGTGGAAGGGGTTGTGATCCAAGGCGGGGTGGTTTTGTGCGGTGCTAATTACCTTGTATTTTTTTCCTGAGCTTTGTCAATCAGGAAAGCGCGGGGTCAACTTGAGGCAGCAACCGAGAGGGCAGGTGCGAAACCACAAATTGAGAAGGAGGGACAAAAGTTGATCGCAAAGCGCAACTCAAAGAGGACAGCGGTAGATATGGTACCTGAGTACGAATTGTCGGAACCGTTAGTTGGTAGGTCGAGGTTGTGAGGCGATGCGACAGGTGTGCTCAGTAGTCGGTGGGTAGAGTTGAGTGGGTGGTGGATCGGGGAGGAGATCGGGAATCTGGAGGGGTGAGGAGTAGTAGATGGGAAAGTGGAGGAGTGGGATGGAAGAGAGATAGGAGGGTGTGTTGGTGGAGAGGAAGAGAGATGTGAGGCGGAAGAGAGGATGTTTTGTGGAAGAGTTTGGGTGAGGTGGAAGAGGCGAAGAAGAGAGTTGGGGGTCGGAGAGAGGTGAGGTTGATCGTGGAGAGTGAGGTGAAGGACGAAAAGAAGTGCGGGCAGAGAATTGGGGGGAGAAAAGTCGGTTGGTAATTGTCAGAAAGACGGGAGGGAAAGTGCGCCGCAGTTGTTTTTTTTTTTCCTTTCCCACCAAGCTGGTAGTGGAAGTGTGGGAGGGAGGTACTTACTGGTAGGTGTGGTCAGGTAAGAGAAGTCTTGTATCATTTTAGTGTTGAAATCTTAGTGACTGATAGCTTTATGGGCTGCAAGGCAGGTGCGCAGGGTTGCTTTGAAGGAGAGCTTCTTGCTGAAGCTGGGCCATTTGCAGGGCTTGATTGGCGAAGAGTGACAGAGGAGGTACGTGATTCAGAGGCTGGATGCGCCTCAAGACCTCAACGGCGACTACTAGTGCCCCACTCTGAAGCAGTCAATCACGTGTACCGACCCGCAGAGATGTGCAGCGACTGTACCTGGGAAGGCGCTAGGGCCACAATCACAGCAAGTATCCTGCCCCTCCTGCACATGCTTCCCGAGCTGTACCTAGAACGTACCTCATCTTGGACCCCTCCAAGCAAAGATGGAGCTTTCCCCAGCGCCTTGGCTACTGCCTCGGGGTGGTTTTGACACCCGCTGCTGATGCTACTGCTTCACTGCCAAAGAAGACCCCTCCAATGCGACTTCCCCTCCCTCAAACACTCACACACTCACAGATGTGACTGATGAAGGACGAGATAAGACGAGACACCAGTAGCCGCGTCCAAGCCTTTTCTAGCCCTGTCTTCTCCGGCGGTAGAAGTACACATGATCCCTAACAGTTAACGCGGCCATCAAGGCGCGAAATACCTCCTACACCCATCTCCTTGGTGCCCTTTCCCAGGGCATATGTCCTCCCTCCGGTTCTCCCTCTCTCTCACACCACTTACACCTCGTCGAGGGTGGGGGTGCCGCAAACTTTGGAGAGAAAGTCCCTAGGCGGCCTCTTGGGGCTAATGGACCTCTTCGGATTGATCCCCGCCAGGGCACACAACAGGGAAGAAGCATTCCGGACCGTCTCGAATCGGCCTACATTCCAGGGTTGAATCTCTCAACATGATGGGCAATGCTGGTCTCTATAGGATCTACGGTGCCTGACCTGGTCGCATCGGGATTCTGAACGGCAAGCACCTTGATCCACCAGCCAGAGTGCCCAATCGAAACGACCTTGACTGCCCGACTTGCGACACGCGACATGAAGTTTGCTCGCTCACTTGTTCTCGCAGTCGCAGATGCACGTCAATGACAGCTTTCCCCCTCGGGACTGTCGCAGGCACATAGGCGCAGGATGCAGGACGGCGAGCAGCGATGGGGAGGGCATAGAGCGTCCCAAGCTCCAGTGGCTGGCCATTTCCCACCTCCAACCGAGGGATACAAGACGCCCTGATCAACAAGGGCCCTTTGCTGCTCCTCTCCACTCGTTACAGCGCTGCAGTTGTGCTTCCTAGCGCGTGTATCCATACCAACATGCCATTCGAATGCTTGGCTCCCGTCCAAATTTTACCTTATTCGTACGCCGATTGTTTGGGTTATCGTCCCGCGGCCGACCGTTTAGCGAGAAGGAGCCGACAAATCCAACCTCCCTCTCTCTCCTCTTTTGGCCAAATGGCATTTAGTGCTCAGAATCCCACATGCAGCGTATATCGTGACTGTTCACCTCATATGGATGCATCCCACCACCAGTAAACACATATGGCATATTCAAGACCTTGGTATGGCCAGAAAAGAGGGCCTGCATGTTGTGTAACTCTACTGCAACTCCCGCCCGTTATCCGGGCTTCGCGGGAATTGCCTGATGGCAACGACCTCAGTGAGGAGAAACCCCGTTCCAACCCCCCGCTAGCCCAGCCGCCACATGACGCCGCCGCCGCTTTCCTATTAGTTTCCGGCCATCCGTCACATCTGGGTCCTCCACCCAAAATATACGATGCCGATGGGCAGCGTTTCTGAGGATAATATCTCCTCAGTCAACCGGATTGGTTGGTCAGGGAGATCCCCGGTGGTGGGGTCGGAACGTGCCATTGGCGACTCCACGGGAAAACCGCCTACTCAAGCAACCTTTACGTAGCGTCTGCAATGCAGTAACCCAGTCGCTAATGCCAGAAAAGCTCTTGTCCGATGTTCCGTCATGCCACGGTCGCCAAGCTTAACGTGTGGCGCATTGCCAGCAACCATTGACACGATCGGGGTATCCCGTTATTCGACTAACAACGTGAGCGGGAGATGGACATGACAATGTATCAATGTCATTAAGCCAATATAGAGGCGAGCACTAAGATGAAAAAAAAAAAAGATTCCCTGTTGCTGGAGCCAAATTTATTGTGTGTATCTGTGACTTGCCGCTCAACCCACGCGAAACAAGAGGCTTTAGGTATCATGATTGTTCAGTATATACGCTTGAATATGCCCGTCAGTCACTACAACGGCCCGTTCTATACACCCAATCACCTCTGCCGCAGCCGCTTCTCGTGTTCAATCCAGAAGTTCTTGCACGCCCGGTGACCCCAGTGCTCGACCCACCACTCGCCGAAGCTGTCCTCGACTTCGAAATCGACCTTGCTCACCCGCTCATCCCGCTTCAGGCCGCAGATTATACACGCCTTTGGCGCCGTAGGTACAACTTTGGCCGTCGACACCGGGATCGTCTCGTTCAGCTCCGGGACGCGGAGCTGCTCATTCTTCAGCGCCGAGTTGGCCGTCACAACTGCTGAGCGCAGCCTTCCGACGTGCTCCTTCCACACACCCACCACATCTGCCGCCTCGCGGTCTTCACGCGCTGCCTGCGCCTTGTCCACACCAGCAAGTTTCATACCCTTCGCGCCAGCCGCGGAAATGGCCATACCTTGTGAGAGGAACTTGTCGCGGTGCCAGCGCAACTTGCGGCCGGCGATGACACGAGCCGCGACAGTGGCAAGGGCGAGATAACCCTTCAAGAAGGTTACAGTGGCCGGATCGGAGAGGATCTTCTTCTTGACCGGAGGCATCTGGCCATTTAGCGGCTTGAAGAGGGCCGTGTTCGCGGTCTCAAGGAGCTCAGGGAAGATTGAGAGAAGAACAGAGGGAGGGGGGATGTTAATGGGCGGCGGATTGTCGTCGCTCGTTTCCAGCGTCGGCTCTGGGTCGCCTAGAAGATTTGTCACTGTTTTCGCGGCGGTTGGGGCTGGGGCTGGGGCTGTTGACGGCTTAACGCCGTCAACAACATCCCAATCCCAGCTTTCAGGGGGCTTGCTAGAATCAATGACAGAGGGTCCATCGTCTGGAAAGTCCTCAAAATCTCCCCAAAGATCCTCCTCAACCTGCGTCTTCTTGGCATTAGTGGTAGACGTAATGGTAGACTTCTTAGCCGTGGCGGACGGCTTGTCAGATGAGGTCTGGCCAAAACTTGGCCAGGCAGTGATGGGCGTGGGAGAATCCTGCTTCTTTTCGTCATTTTTGAAATCTGTAGAGGTTGGCGTGGTGAGTCCTAGGCCTGGAAAGGGGTTGCGCTCTTGGAAAGACGGACTCTTGGGTGCCTGAGGATACGGCGAAACGGGAGCGTTAAGATTCAAAGATGAAAGTTGCGGCTTCTTGGGTTGTGGCTGAGAAATAGGTAGAGGATCGTCGTCAAGGGAAAGCAGATCCATGGAAGGAGGCGGCTGAGATTTCTGTTGCTGTTCTTTCTGCCTTGGCTTCGAATCCAATGTTGGACTCATGTTTCCGCCGGGAAAGGGGGTCTGAACTGTCTCAAAGTCACCAAACTCATCATCGTCTTCGTCGTGTCCACCTTGGAGCTCAAATTCCTCCGCATCAAAAAGAATATTGGAATCAGTCTTCGTCGAGGGTTTGGGAGTTGTCTTCCTTGACATATCAGGCATTTGACCGCGAAGTCTAGGGCTCGACTGCGGCTTCGGCACAGCGCCCGTCTGGAATGTAAGGCCTGGACTAGCTGGCGGCTTAAGGGCTCCCGCACCCGTTCTTGACGAGCCGGGGCTTGGTTGCCGGTTGGGCTGCTGCAACGTCAGTCCCGGGCTTGGCAGGCCCGGGCTCGGAATGGGCGACAAGCTTGAGCCCGGAGGCATGTCTATGACGTTGACAAGGTTGTTTGACATGAGATCAAACGTCGAAGCCCGCGCCACGCGGGTCCTAGGCGGCGGCGATGCTCTTGCCTTGTTCGTCTGTGGAGGGAGAACAAAAGACATTTGAGTGGGCGTAGGTTCAGCAACCTCGAAGTCGCCAAAATCATCGTCATCGTCGGCAACTTGTTTGGTCTGCTTAGGCTGCTGTGACTGCTGTTGCGTTGGGGTAGAGGACATGAATCCAGAAGCAAATGAGCTGAAGTCGCCCCATCCTCCATTGTTGTCATTAACGCCGGAACCACTTGGTTGCTGCGTCTGGAAATCCGGCCATGGCTGAGTCTGATTCTGAACCTGAGTTTGTTGGTTCGGGGCCGATGCTACCGCCGCTGCCGGCCTGCTGGTGACACTGGTGTTGGTGAATGAGGCAAAGTCAAAAAGGTCAGTAGATGAGGCCGTAACCTGCTGCGGACGTTGCTGTTGTTGCGGCAGCTGTCCAAACGGGCCCCCCTGTTGCTGCTGCTGCTGTTGCGGCGGCTGCGGAGGGCTTGAGTAGAAGCTGTCGAGGTCCAAGAGGTCGGCGCTCATTGCTTCAGTTTCACCACCATCGGTTGCACATGCTTTTTGGTTATTCGTCGTTGTCGAAGGTTGTCTTGCTAGAAGGTGGAGCAAGAAGTGAAGGTGAGGAAAAAAAAAGTGATGGTGAGAGGAGAAAAGGGTTGACGTTGGGCGGGCGACAATGGGGGCGAACAAAGGAGGTTAGGTGCTCCGTAGATAGCTGACCTTATTGGAATAGGGGACCATCCTCGTCGGATAGAGTGCTAAATGGGGCTGAATGCTGAAATGCGGTTCCACGGGGCTGGGATGGCAGCACGGCTTTGACGGCAGGATAGGGGAGTAAGTGACCTAAAAAAGCTCGGGTAACTCATTACAGAACGCCACAGCCACAGTGGTATGCGGACGATCCTTGACCAAGACAGTCGGCGAGACCGCGTCCTGGTAGCAGAAACAATTGGATGGTTGCCAGCCCTACAAAGCGTTGCCAGCGAGAAGGTGTCCCCATCTAGAAGGGGCTGACAAGTGCAGGAAAATGCGGGTGTTTATCGATCTCCGTACGTATATATTAGACTCTAAAGTCGGTTATGTAAGGATACACAAGTTGGTGGCAAGTAACCACTCGAACGGTTCATTGGAAACCTTTCAGCACCACAAAAAGGTACTGCCTAGCTCTCACTTGGCTTTGATCCTTTTTGTTCTTCATAGGCTGGAGCTTGATTCTGGTTCCTCGGTACTGTTGCCTGGAGTGCTACTGAAATGCAGACATCCTAAAGCCCATTGGGGAAACCTCCTGGTTCCGATTGTGCCTTTGAATATACGGTCAAATATGTCCATTTCACGAGTTCAACTTATTTGATACTGGACACTTGATTTGACTTTGGTAATAGACCCCTGACGTGGCGCTAAGATGGCCGTCGGCACGGAGCTTAGGCCACGCCGACGTGGGGGTTTTAGTGTAGAAATCTCAGAAACTGAGCTCTAAAATTTCCATTCGCAAGCCAGGGGTGGCACTTGACACTCATTCATCAACCCAGCACCAGCCCATCAGCGAAAATCATCATGCCGCCACGAACTTTGGCATCGCTATGCCCCCGGTGTCGACCGCAACCGTTCCCCCGACTAACGACGTCTCCATGGTTCTCTCAGAGCGCCGCCTACCGTGCCGTCACGAAGGCAAAGCCCTCACGGATGGTTCTGTCCGATAGCGTCTCGCAACCTCGAGGCCGTGATGGCAAGCCGCCTCGTCGCTTCGTTGAGGGGCCTTTTGGTGGAATGAATCAAACAGTTGCAAGAGTTTCCCATGCTGCGCATCGCCCGCGCCCGTCGAAGTCGAATGAGGCTCCGGGCAAGCCTCGCAGAAGCGACGACAGGAATTCTGCCGACTCGAGGAAAGCTTTAAAGATGCAGCGCGCTTTGGCTGGTGTATCATACGGAAAGAGAAATCATCTGAAGGACAAGATGCAAGAATATGAGTCTTTTGACCAGTTCAACCTCCTGCCTTCGGTCAAGGCTGGCGTCCACGAGGATCTTCTAAGGGGTATGGTAGATATCAAGCCAACGCCGGTTCAGAGGCTCGCCATCCCGGCCATGCTAGGCCAATCCAGTGCATTCAAGGTCAGGGGCGAGAAGAGGCAAGACTTTCTTCTTGCTGCTGAGACAGGTTCTGGCAAGACGCTGGCGTACCTGCTTCCAGCCGTTAACGCCTTGAAGGTCGCCGAGGAGCAGAACCCCGATATCCAGGCATTCAAGAAGCGGTTTGAGGAGGAGAAGGCCAGAGAAAAGGCCTCTAAATCAAAAAAGATGTCAACGTTTGACGAACCTCACCCTACCATGGCCAGACCTCGCGTCGTGGTACTGGTTCCTTCAGCCGAACTCGTTGATCAGGTTGGCCGCGTGGTTAAGACGCTCTCTCATGCAGTCAAGTTCAAGTCCGAGAAGCTTTCCGCAAACCTCAGCGCGACGCAAATACAGCGCAACCTCTACTCGCCTCGGGGCATCGATATGGTTGTTGCGACGCCTCACCTTCTTGCCTCGATTGCCGACTCAGACCCCAACGTTCTGTCCCAGGTTACTCATTTGATTGTTGACGAAGCCGACTCTCTGTTTGATCGAAGCTTTGCGCCTGTCACCACAACAATCGTTGACAGGGCTATGCCGTCGCTCAAGCAGTTTGTTCTTTGTTCTGCCACAATTCCGAAGAGGCTTGACAACTACCTCGCCAATAACTTCCCCAACATGACCCGTATAACGACACCAAACCTCCACGCCATTCCCCGTCGTGTGCAACTCGGTGTCATTGACGTTGTCAAAGACCCCTATCGCAACAATAAGAACCTTGCATGCGCCGACGCCATTTACTCCATCGGCCGTGAGGCCTCCAAGCACGAAGGGCCGGTTCAAGGTGAAATTGATGTTCGTCGTATCATGGTCTTCGTCAACGAGCGTGAAAAAACAACGGAGGTTGCCGAGTACCTTCGAACCAAGGGCATCGATGCAATTGCGCTGAACAGAGACACCGCTGAGCAGCGTCAGTCAGAAATGTTGTCCACTTTTACTTCATCTGAGCCCCTGAGATCCACGGCGCCAGAGACTCCTGTTACAGGCAAGCGATCGTTGCCCAACACCAAGGTCATCGTCGCAACGGACCTGGCCTCCAGAGGTATTGATACGCTCGCTGTCCGCCACGTTATTCTATACGATGTGCCGCATACTACCATTGACTTTATTCATCGGTTGGGGCGTGCTGGACGTATGGGACGACGTGGAAGAGGCATCGTGCTAGTCGGAAAGGATGACAAGAAGGATGTGGTTTCGGAGGTTAAGGAAAGCATGTTCATGGGCCAAGCACTCATCTGATGGGCTTACATAGCCCTTGAAATAACTCTGTACAACACCATGTAAAAACACACTGTATACCAGAACAAAAAGGACCATGTTACGAGGATATGGACGCATATATACCTGAGATAGATTTGGAATTGGTGTTGCTTGGTGGAAGATAGAGGACCCAACTCCATAATACTTTTTGATCCATGAGAATTACAATTTGCATCATGCAAACCTCGCAAGACAAGCCATCAGTATTGTGTTTTGAGTGTCTGACCAAATACAGTGAGGCGCATCAGTGTGGTGGTGTGGCTTGTGGTGTGGCGCTAGCTCTGCTTTCGATCTGTGAGTGGGACGCGACTTGGAAGGTTCGAGTCGCGACGCGTCCCATCTGCAAGCGTTTCCCTCCCACACACCACATCAAAATATCATAGACTCTTCGCCATCCGTACCTCTGGCCACGGCCCTATAGTCGTGGTTAAACCTCCGCACTCACATTTACAACGTAACTAATATAAATTTCAATAACGTAGTCGATTCAGCATCAACAATCCGGTTAAAAGCAAGCATGCCGCGTCCTAGGAGAACGCGTCGTACCCAAGCCCCCGCCATCGCCGCCGTGGCTGCTGCTGCGCCAGAGGACAAGTCTAGCCCTGCGCCTGCCTCGGGTAGTGACATCTACAGCCACAGCGATCGCGAACATTCAGTTATCAGAAAGGAGCATGAGGAAGGAACGAGCACGCGCCTGCGGAGGAGCACCAGTTTGCGCCAGAAGCAGACGTTGAAGGAGACAGACCGCGCAGTAGACAAGGGCAATGACGTTGAGAAGGATACGAAGGGCAAAGCGAAGGAGGACCAACAGAAATCCGAATCATCAGTTGAAGCGGGAAGGAAGACGCGCGCAACCCCGGTTCAGCAGAGGAGGGACACGACTGGCTTAGACATGGATGATGATTTGTTCGGGCTTGACACCACTTTGGGTGACGACGATGATGATGCCGCCGCTGCGCCGCCGAGCGCACCACGCTCCGATACCTCGACTTTTAGTGTCAGCAACTTCAGGCGTCGGGGCCGCGCGCCGAGCATTAGCATCAACAAGGACGACGCCCCCATCAGACCAAGCAGTCGCGGAATCAGTACACCAGGCATCAGCTCTGTCTTTAACATCGGGAATTTCAGGCGCCGCCGGAGAGAGCCAAGTATTCTGGGTACGGCACAGAAGGAGCGTGCCCAGCGCCCACTTGAGCCATCATCAGGACCGGAGTCTGGAGATGAAGACGAGGAGGACTTCAATCCTGAGGCTGAATCGACACCTATCAACAACCGGCGCAGAACACGGCCGCCTCCTGCAGCGGAAACAGACTCAGAAGCCGAGGCCGAACCAGTCCCCGAATCTCAACAGGTCTTAGCACCGGATTCGCAACCCGAGAAAGAGGCCGCGGTTGCTTCGAGCACCAGATCCCGCAAGCGAAAGAGCTTAGAGAGCCATGAAGAGACAGAGCGTCCTGGGAAAGCATCGCGAACTGAGCCTGAGCCTGAACTCGCAGATGACAGTGACTCATCGCTCTCTGACTTGCCTTCGCCCGCGTTACTGACCCCTACGCGAGGATCAAACCTTCCGCGACCGGTCACACCGAACCAAGACGAGATCATGGCTCCGCCTGAGAGCAGCGGTTCGGAAGACGATGATGGGGTGTGGCCTGATATTCACACCCTCGCCAAACAACGCCGTCGACGCGCCTCACCTACCACACCAACACGAGACGGTAACATATCTGATGCATCTTCCCCACCCTCTCTCACTCACTCACCCAACTTCCCTGCAACACGCAACAAGTCGCGGCAGAAGAAACAGCAGAAAAAAGTGACCACGGCGGATCTTACTGGTCTCCTTCCTCAGAGACGCCACAAGAAGAACAGAGATCCACTGGATGTGGACGAGTCTGATGATGAGGTCGATACCTCTAATTTAGGCCAGGGCGATGACGAGCTTTCATACATTGATGCTCGCACTCGTTCTAGACGCGCAAGGACTACGCCGCTCAACCGCAGCTCAGCCAACCGACCTCCATCCCGCGGTAGCAAGGCTACTGCGTCAGTCGCGAAGTCCAAGGCGACGCCAGGAAGCAACCGCCCTTCAACGCGCACCTACAGTCGCCGTCTGTCGGACAAGGAGAACCAGGTTGAAGTTGAAGACGAAGTCGAGGGAGAGAACTTGGCACCGGCCCAAGACGAAGCGATCGATAGCCAAGAGAGCAGCGACCCAACCCGGACCGCCGATGAGCTTAAGCAGGCTGTGCGAAAGTTCAAGGAAGTTGATCGCTGGGAACTGGAGTTTGAGGAGGTGACGGAGGACTCGTCGCCGACTCGGGATGCGCGGTGAAGATAAATTCTACGAGTAGTCGATTGGGAGCGTGCATGACTTTTATGCGCCGGTGGGGGGCAAAATGAGGCAATAGGAGAGTGGTATACTTGAGAGGCAATAGGCGTTTTGCAAAAGGCGTTTTATGTCAAGTTCATGAAGTCGGAGGGTTCCTTATATCGGCAGACTGGGTTCATCCGTCCAGCTGGTGGGTCAACATGTTACCTAGTTGCTTTACTGGAAAATGGCGTTGATGAACTTTTTCACCTCGGGGGCGAGGGTTTGCAGTCAAACACGGGGGGGGGAATCGGAGCTGATTAATTTGCACATTTCAACGGCACAGCCCGTGTTGTCCCTTTACCTGCTGTGGTATCTTCTTCGTACCTACTTTTGAATGCCTGTAACGCCTTGGTCTTGCCTTACTACCCCGAACGCCGGCCCCTTATGAGGGTCATTCTACGAATCAACCAGGAGAAAGTAAGCCTCATTGCTTTAGAGAAACGGTCTGCACCTGCCGCTCGACCGTGGGCAGCAGGTTCATGAGCAAGTTCGGGTCGCGCAATGCAATAGTAATGTCATCCGGCAACCGACCCTCCATGAATAGTGACTATAACTCTGTTGTCAGCAAAATATTCATGAAAACTGGATATGCAACCGCGGGTAAGACTCACCCTCTTCACGCTGGCAAAGTTGTCCTCCTTGGCCGTATACTCCCGAATGACTTCATCCGTCTCAAAGTCGACATAGACTCTCGTGTCGCGAATTCGCACAATGACGTTGTCAAGTCGCATGAACAGCCTGCAGAGCAAGAGCATGCGCTTCTCGTGGACGCGCAGCTTGACGCTCACGATGGAGATTCCGTTATCGTCAAGCTCGCTCTCGAACAAGACCACGTCGTCAAAGAACAGAATCGGGTCGCGGCGTTTCAGAAGCTCGAGAGGGATCTCCTTGGTCGTTGTATTCTGCAAGTTCTTTCCGCCCTGCTCCTTGAGCGTGCCGGCGTATTCGGTCGAGTAGGACCAGTCGTATGGCTTAACCACCTCTTTAATTCCCGCGCTCGTCTTTTCTCTGGAGGATGACCAGTCCTTGGCGTACGCCACCTTGAGCATTTTCTTGTCTGTCTTGTCGACGCTGTCGAGTGCGTCGTAGGCGTTGAACGAGATGGACCAGCCTGTAGGGACATGCTCGATGCTGACGAGGTTGTCGCCAAAGATCATTTCTGGGACTGGGATTCCGAGTGAGGCCGTCATCTCGTCAATGGGCCCGGCTTTGGAGATTGGGAGTTTGCGTGTAGAGATGCGAAAGCGGGATTGCGTGTGCGAGGTCGTTGCCGCCGCGAGGGCGTCGGGGGTGGGAAAGGGCTCATTTGGGGAGGTTATGTGGTTCATCTTGCTGCCGTGCCTGTGTCGTTTGTGTTTGTAAGCTTCGTTGTGCCTCCGGAAGAAGGCGAGATTCGCGGGCTGGGCAACAATATCGGTATGGTCGTATGGTGTTAGAGTGAGGTTGGAGAGGGGTGCGCACGGTTCGGAGCGGAGGTAGTTGGAGAGCTCTGGTAAAGAGGTGGTGATGGTGGGGTTTGGCGGGGAACACGGGATGTTTCAGTGCTCAATCCCTGCTTGTCTCGGTGAGGGGCGAACGCCACTTAGTTATCCAACTCACCGAGCCACCTGAACACTTACACAGGCATTCCGGCCGTCTTTCGTTGGAACGACGATAATATCAGAAAAAGAAGTGAGAAATAGCAAGAAAATATGGCTTTTAGAACCATCTGATGGAATAGAAAAATACCACTTGAGAGTCCACATATAACTTCTACGTAAGCTCGTACAAATAACAGGGTGAGGCATGAAAACAGCTTAGAACAGGTGACTTTTGTAATTCAAATTTGTAGATCTAAATTCACAAGTTCTATGATGCTTGAAATAGATCAACTCTTGGTTCAACGATGTAGACTCAACCTTGGTGGTGGCTCGAAGAGATACAAGTTATGTCAGTACAGAGTATTCGGAAGCAGTGATGCAAGTCGTCACATTTATGGCTTTAAGAAAATCACATTAAGTAGTCCAAGTATAATTTCTGGAGGTTGTTTGATTTCTTTTGTTCGTTATATCACTTTCTAGGCTGAATGCGGGACTGCGTGGTTTGTAACAACAACCTCTGCATTGTAGACAGGGCAGCCATGAGCCTCTGAGAATCACTCACTTGATAGCGTACTGCTATATGTTCACCTGCGCCATTAGGGGAGTAATCGAAATTGCTGGAATTTCCAGGTACACAAAGCTGTGGAGAGAGTAGCGAGTGACAGAATAGAGAAAGGAAGGGTGTGTAATACTGGGAATTGGACTTCTCGGGACAGAGACTTCGCAAAACGAAAGGAATGAAGTAGCCCGGTAGCTGGACCGATCCTAGATACTACCATCGGTAGTTGCGCCTGCCTTCCTTCCATGCACCGCGGCAATTACTCTTTTGGAAACCACTATCAGGATCAGTCGCAGATGCCGTCACGGCTTAGGCACCTTCAACAATGAGTAATAGGCCCAGTTGCTTCCCGTATGGAAATTTATGGCTAACGTCATCCGACTTCTCACTCGTCAAGGACCAACGGGTTTCCAATCCACCACGGGCATTTTACCTTCGTTCGAAGAAGTCCTAGAGCGGCAAATGTCCAGTATTATATTCATGCGCGTTACCCCTAATCATATGATATCAAGCCAATCTTTCATACTAACCATTTTCTTCACTTCCATCCTTCCAACGGCATGGTGTCAGATTACACCTCCCAGCTCCCTCCCGATTCGAGGTCGTGGAATTTGGCCCGGCTGCGGCGCAATAATTATTCGGGGTGGGTCGATGCCGTATGCTGCAAGATGCGAAAGGTGTGACAGATTCTGCACGATAGCAATTCCTCAATCGCGTCTCCTGCAATCCGACCAGGGAGAATTTCCAGCTTCGGGAGCAAACTTACTGCACGACAAAAGAAACGGCTACCCGGCAACTCCCGTCTCCCTCTTCCCCACATCAGTGCTGATAGCATGTAAAGCAGTTTTGCGATGCCGTAGCGACTTTGCCCTGGTCTTTGAGACGGCAGCTGCTTCAACTTAAAGAAAGCAATAATTTGGTACTCTTTGTGGAGAACCAGATGCCCAGGAGCCTGTTTTCGGAACTCCTCGAACTGATCAAACCTGGATCACCCGTGATACCCCATCGATGATAGGGTACATCGCCGTAGATGTATCGTTCGGCGAGGAAACTCAACCACGCAACCAGAAGAGGAGGGTTGTTCCTGGCGTGATCAGTATGTTTACTCTGCCGCCTTGCTCAGCATGCATATATCAACATTGGACAAGTAGCACGCTTCAATGTCGACAATGGATATATGTGGGTGAATGTTGTGGCAAACATGTTCCTCATGATCCTGGGACTACTCCCGTACGGAATTCTTGCATACACACATGGAGCGCAAACCGCCCATATCCGTGCTTTGATTGACAGTGGATGTGTTGATGAACTCGACATAATTGACGCGTTCGCGTATACCCAAAGGTATATCAATGCAACCCAGTTTTAGGAGCTGACTGAGAATATACGAGATGCATGTCTCAAAACGCAAAAGCGAAAATGGCCTACCGATCAAAAAACATTGCAAGAGGCATGCAAAAGTGCCTCAGATACTCTTGCTGCCCTCGAGCTGCCCATTTAGGGGCAGCGTTTTGAACTGTTACGCACGTTGCACCAGCTTTCCCTGATGCACCTTCACCGCCTGAGTCGGGAGGCACACAGAATAAGACAACCAGTACACCCACTGAAGCAGAAAGGCATACAATATCAGTTACGAGTGAGAAGGATGAGCTCACACCGGTCTCGGCAGAACAGAAAGCATGGAGGAAAAAGAGCAGCTCGTGAAGATAATAACGAAGGGCATTCTATTCTTAACAAGAAATTATGCAACGGTTTGCTGACTGGCAATGTAATGGCGGTCGCAAGTACTTGTGTGCCTGGCGGCAAAGTTGGGCACGGAAGTAAGGAGGATAAGTAACGACGATTTTCTCGTCTCGGTGCAAATAAAGCGAACACACCAAAGCCGGTGGTCGAAGAAGCAAGGTTCAATAGTCATAACCAAGAAACAGTCGTCAAAACAAGGCATCCGTTGCATGGATTACTTACGAGCGAGCCGCTTGGCTCGATTTGGCCTCGCATAACTTATGAAACGGTGATTGCAAAGGAAGCATACATGAGAGATGGCGCCTAACTCGTTTATCGAGCAGTAGAATAATTATGGTTCACGTCAAAGAGAGGACTGACAGCAAAAGCGCCTGGTGTCTTGGTAGAGTGGGGGCTGGGGGAGTGGGTCAGTCGCTGCCCTGGTGCTGTTTCCCCGGCAACCCAGCTCACCCCCATTGTTTAGGCGGCTCAGCATCGTTGCTCGAACCTTTTCTTAATAACCCCCGACGACCGCTCCAGATTCTTTCCCAACTCCAGGCACTTTTCTAACCAACAGGGAACATTCATACTTCGGCACTCTCTCACCACACAGCACAATGGCCACTCGAACGTTGGAGTCGCGTTTTGAGCGCATGTCTGTGAATGATGAGAACGACCCATGCGATGGCTCCAAGCTTTACTCCAAGGCTCAGGTTCGTGCTGTCTTCGCTGCACACCTTAGCCTGCCAATTCAACAGTCAGCTAACATGATGCCCAGTCCATGGTCAAGACATCACAGCTGGCACACAGTTCGAGCAGACCGAACCTCATTAAGGTCGCGCTGCAGTCCCAGAGCACCAACTCCGTCGCCTCGGTAAAACTGCCCTCGCAGTCCGTACAACGCGAGGCGAAGAACCCTGCAACACCGGCAAGAAAGGCTCTCCCATCCGGCTCCTCGAGGGCCTCCGAAGAGATCGTTGAAGTGGACCACAAGTCTGTCTCTATCGTCGTCGAGCCTGCACCCCCGAAAATTTTCCATCTAGGCATGTTTGAAATCGGCCGACCCCTCGGTAAGGGCAAGTTTGGTCGTGTCTACCTTGCCCGCGAGCGCACGAGCGGTTTCATCTGCGCCCTCAAGGTCCTGCACAAGAACGAGCTGCAGCAGGGCCGCGTCGAAAAGCAGGTCCGCCGTGAGATCGAGATCCAGAGCAACCTGCGCCACCCCAACATCCTGCAGCTGTACGGCCACTTTCACGACAGCAAGCGTGTGTTCCTGATTCTCGAGTTCGCCGGCAAGGGTGAATTGTACAAGCACCTCCGGAAGGAGAGCCGCTTCCCCGAGTGGAAGTCGGCGCAGTACATTGCCCAGATGGCCTCAGCGCTGCGCTACCTGCACCGCAAGCACGTAATCCATCGTGACATCAAGCCTGAGAATATCCTCATGGGCATTCACGGTGAGATCAAGATCTCGGATTTCGGCTGGAGTGTCCACGCTCCTAACAACCGCCGCAACACCATGTGCGGTACTCTTGACTACCTGCCGCCTGAGATGATCAAGCCCGGCAGCTCAGACAACTACTACAATGAGAAGGTCGATCTCTGGAGCTTAGGTGTTCTGACGTACGAGTTCCTCGTTGGCGAGGCACCTTTTGAGGACACACCCGTCATGACGCAGAGGAGAATTGCTCGGGCTGACATGACGGTGCCCTCGTTTGTCAGTCCCGAGGCCAAGGACCTGATTAAGAAGGTGAGTAGATTCACTCCAAGTTTGTTTCGGGACTTCCAACTAACTCTCTCGCCCAGTTGCTTGTCCTTGACCCCGAGAAGAGAATACCCCTGGAGCAAGTCCAAACCCACCCGTGGATCGTAAAGCATTGTGTAAAGGGCGAGAGAGCCGCCAACCGCGAGAAGAGCTACTAATTAACGACCTTCATGATTCATGCATACCAGCCAAGGCATAACGGTCCTTGTTGGATTAGCGGCGTTCATTCTTTTTTTGCTGGATTAGGCGGGCTCTGATCTACGGCTTGTTGGGGTTTACGGTGTTGTTTCCATTGCATGTAGGGGAGTTGGGATTCTTCATATCGTCCTTTTGAGTAGATAACGAAAACCAAAGTAGTGATATCATCCAAGCATCCAAACACTGTTACGTGGCGCTTCTCATGAGAAGAAATTACATCCATGGGGGGGTATTATACACACGCTCTATTTCGAGCCGTCCTGTTCTCCGTTACCTGTACACTTCGTCAAAGGGCCTCGTGTCGTTGAAGCAAGAATCCCAAACCTGATTCACCACCTTGGTCGCCTGTACGTCGTCCTTGCACCTCGGCCGGTTGAGCACAGATTGTATAGCGCGCTTGCGTACGCAGTCCTGGAACTGCTGGGAAAGGCTCCAGTTGCCTCTTGTGAATGCCTCTCTCGTCCATCTACACTCGCCGCTCAATGCGGATGCACGAATCTGTCACCATACGTCAGCCGTGAACCTCATCAACCAAAGTCGTCCGCCGATACTCACCTCCGTACACGCCGCATGCTTCAAATCCAAATCACCCATCCAATCCACATTCCACCTCAGATGGTCCCAAGCATGCACCATTTCATGCGAGAGCGTATCCTCCAGGTGCTTCCTGTCCCGAACCTCGTTGGCGCAGATCAAGATGCCGTGGGCAGGGCTGAAACCGCCGGATTGACGGTGCACCTGGCCATCCTCGGTAAGGCGCGCGGGACATCTTCTGCAGAGAATGTTGGAGCTGTCGAGCTGGCCGTTGAGGGCGGCGATCTTGTCGTTGAGGAAGCGGACGGTCGGGGAGAAGGCGAGGAGCCAGTCACGGTGCTCCTCGCAGCGCTTACAGTCGCGCTCCTCGTGGACACGGTAACGGTGCTCGCGGTAGTGGAACTGGCCTTCGGGCGTCATGCGGCCAGTCAGGACGTTGAAGTAGTTCATCCACCATTTTGTTTGGGGGTCGAAGCCAGTGCGGGCGGGATCGTTGCGTAGCTCGCGAGGGCCGTCTTGAGTCGGCGCTGGGGGAGGCGTTGTTGTCGCCTGTGAGGGGGCTTCGGAAGCCATCGTCAGGTCCTGTGTTGTTGTCTTAAAGGGTCAGGGGATAGTCTTGTTGTCAATTGTTGTTGGGTGAAGTCGATCGTCTATGGTTGGTGATGGTTAAGGTATGAATGGACGATGTTGATTGGAGATTGAGACGGAATTTTTGGCCTTTATCGATAACGACCTGCACACGGGGCAGGCATTGCGTCCCTGGAGACAGCGCCTGTGTTTTTAGTGGGACAATCTGTAAGAAACGACAAGTAGCGAAAAGAAGCGACAGCGACCCGGGAACACGAAAAAATGAGTGTTGAGGAGATAATAACGATAAATGAGTCAACTATGGAGCATAACTCTTAAAGCTTTCGTCGCCTTGCGGTTGACAATTCATAGGTAGGTGACTATCCGTTGAAGTCTACCAAACAATCGAACAAAAGACTGTGAATTGTTCACAGTAGTGACGGAGCAGAGCTTTAGAGATAGTCAACCGAACTGTCTAAATTCTAGAAGACGTACAGATTCCATAGCATATCTTGCATTCCAGAAATACTCCGAATTAAGTTGTGGTTGTCTTTGCCTGGAGTAGTCTTGCCCTGAGTCTATCTCATCTGGCAGTTTACAGACGCAGCTTGATTAGCTTGATTGTGGGAATATGGAGAGACCTCTAAGCCAACATGCAAGGCGCGCCCTGCCCAAATGTGTTGCGAACCTGATCAATGCATAGTTTGGCGGTCACCAAGCCCATTAGTCTGATTCATGGGATCATATCTTGGAACAGACGGACAGGGGGTGAAGGAGACGGACGATGGTAGCATGCTAAAGATGTCACTAGCCCCGGATTTTAGGGGATTACAGGCTCTCTCATAGGCTGCTGCCCACCTACCGAACCAGCCCCGTGTTCCCGTTCTTACACCGGACGATCCCGATGTCGGGGCCAGGGTTTTCAACGACCCAGTCATTCCCGAAGCAAAAACCCAAGACGACAAAGGGCGCAACGACCGACCAGGGGCCTTGAATAATGTTCGCTTCGTCCCACATTAACACGACACCGGCTGGTCTGACAATGGCGGAAGAGAGTGGTCCAACGTGTAAGAGGATCCAGTATTTCTTAATACGTAATGTGCCCAATGCCGGTTGTTTTTGGGCAGTTTTGTTTCTGGTTGCATTTTATTTCCATCTCGTCCTTGGCTTTGGAGGGGTAACGTTCAAAAAAGTGTGTGTGTGACTAACTCCGAATACCCTCATTTGCAGACATGAAGCACCGTGAGGGCGCAAGACCTCTAACGGTGGTGCTCAAGCTAGGTGAGTTGACTCCCCTCATTATCTCTCACATGCTTCGATCTAATTCGTATTACAGGCACCAGCTCTATTGTTGATGAACAAACCCATCAACCCCTGCTGTCCATCTTGAGTCTTATTGTCGAGACAGCAGTCAAACTGAGGAAAGATGGCCATAGAGTAGTCATCGTCTCATCTGGTGCCATTGGCGTCGGCCTTCTCCGCATGGAAATGGACCGAAGACCGAAGCACCTGTCAACGCTACAGGTCTGCTCATCCAGGGACTTCAAAAGTCTAGGAGGTTGAACTAACGAGGTATACAGGCCCTGGCGGCCATCGGACAGTGTAGACTCATCAGTCTGTGGGACGACTTGTTTGGACACTTTAGGCAGCCCGTCGCTCAGATTCTTCTCACTCGCAATGACATAGCGGATGTAAGTGAGGCCGCCACTTACTCCAAGCCTGCAGATATTGATGGAGCCTTAGCGGACACGATACCTCAATGCGCAAAACACATTCAACGAGCTTCTTGACCTGGGGGTCATCCCTATTGTCAACGAAAACGACACTCTCGCAGTCTCAGAAATCAAGTTCGGCGACAACGATACCCTTTCCGCCATCGCCGCTGGCATGGTCCATGCCGATATGCTATTCCTCATGACGGATGTCGACTGCCTCTACGACAAGAACCCCAGGACAAATCCGGACGCCCAGGCTATTGAGGTCGTTGAAGATATTTCCAGTATCCAAGCCGACGGTAAGTTGGGCCCTTGCCCCAACTCACAAAAAATTAAACTGACACAATTGCATAGTATCAACAGCCGGCTCCGCCCTCGGCACCGGCGGCATGATGACCAAGATCGTCGCCGCTCGCCTCGCAACCTCAGCAGGCGTGACGACTGTCATCACCCGGTCTTCCAATCCGGGCAACATTGTGAAGATCGTCCGCTACATCCAAGCTCAACAAAGACACTCCCTGCGCTTCGATAATTCTGACAGCGAGCATGACAGTACGGAAGATCCCCTATCCCAATCTACGGCCTCCCTCCGCCTGGACCAGTCCGTTGCGAAACCCCCGCTGCACACTCGCTTCCTCCCCTCCTCAGACCCGATCCGCGACCGCCACTTCTGGATGATCCACGGCCTCAAGCCGCACGGCACCATCTACATTGACTCGGGAGCACACAGTGCTCTACTCCGAAAGGCCGGGTTGCTGCCCGCGGGCGTGCTCGACGTCGAGGGCAACTTCGCACAGCAGGAAGCCGTGCGGCTCGTCGTCGTCGACAGGCTTCACCAGCCGAATCCTGTCAACGGCGGCAAGATGTGGGGCGGCACGCCGCTTGAGGTTGGCCGCGCGCTGGTGAACTACGCCGCGCCGGAGGTGATGCGCATCCGTGGCCATCAGAGCTCTGAGATTGGTGGGCTGCTAGGATACGCCGACAGCGAATACGTGGCGGAGCGGCAACACATTCACGTTTTTAGTCGGGAGAGTCGGCCGGTAACGCCGAGCTTGGAGAAGGCGAAGGAGCAGATCGTCGAGGAAGTGATTGCGGGAGTTGCGGGATACGAGGGAAAGGCATGAGCGTAACATGATTGTTTTATATTTATAGAATTGGCCAAAAAGGATAGGGGCATCATGATGAGGAAAAGAAAAAACGCAAAATGTCTTATGATTCGAGGAGCGATCCGCCAGATTCCAGCCTTATGGGGTGTCAATATTAGACTTGCTGTTACGACGAAAGAATAAATAAGACTGTGTATGACCAACAAAAACGCCGTCAAGATGCCCCCCGGTCTTCTACTCTTTTTTTTGCGAACCAAGAAACGCCGTCCCATGTACAAACATGCCCGGAAACCTATGGGTATCCCGACCTCTTCCACTAGGTCTTTTCCATCTCCCAAAGCTTAACCAGTCGCAAAGAGGGTATCTTCGTCACGCAGGTACTCGCCACAGTCCGATTGTCTGAAGCACACAACACCGGTGGGGTCCAGACGACGCGCCTCGGCCGTCGAGCGGGCAGTAACACCGAAACCAAGGGGCTTGTCGTCCATGGAGTAGACGATGACACCTTGGTGCTCGGGGCAATCATCAGACCAGCGGCCGACGTGGGCCTTCACGATGTTGCCGCCATAGAGGAAGGGCATCTCTCCGTTAGGCTGTCGGGTTCAATAGTCAGCTATAGCACCTCGAGATGTGCATCGGCTTTTCGAACGTACCTTGACCCAGATCTTGTACCTTGCGTGCTCACTGAGGATGGGGAGAGCGGTAACGTGCAGACGGAACTTGCCCGTTTTGGTGAACTTGCCTACAGAGTGACACAATTAGGAAGGAGTATTTCGTCTTCAGAAAATGCGGAGACGTACCGAGGCAAATTCCAATACTGAGAAGCTTGTCGCGGGCAATGCTAGTCGCGAGGTTGGCAACGGAGAGGCGCACGTAGTAAACGCGGTCCTTGATCATGCGGAAAACATAGCGGTCTGCGTCGGGAGAGTTGTCGAGCGGGGCGATAAGGTTCTTCAGCGAGCTGCCCATATAGCTGGCCAGCTTGTTGAAGAGGGTCTGAGTCTCTTGTTCCGTGAGGGGACGCATCTTGGCGGTGTTCGGTGCGATAGCTCTCGGGTGGTTTGGTAGAATAAGACGAGAGTCTTCGAGATGCGAAAGATCCGTACCGAGAGTGGGATGTATCGCGATGCCAAAGGTTGGAGTAGCGGCAGAAACCCAAAAAATTTCGGGCGGTCAGACAGATGCCCAGGGTCGTTATTGGTTCAATGGCCCAAACCCCACAAAAAAGTTCTTGACGGTCCCTCTTCTGCTGCACTGTCCAAGGGTCCCATACAATCCACTCCAGAGTTGAGAAATCTTGTGCATCCGAAGCCGCACGACGTCGACGGCTCTCCGAACAAACCACACTGTCCAGACTCAATACGATTAGAGATACAATGTCGTTGAGAGCCCCTAAGCGTCGCAGGCTCACGCCTCCCCAATCCGAAGACGAGGAGAACCATCCGAAGAGCCGCTCTTCCAAGAAGATTCAGAAAGCCTTCTTCAAGAGCGCTGTTGGCTGGGACTTGGAGCAGGATTATGAGAGCCGCAAGCGAAAGGGTAGCAAAAAGGATAAGAAGGAGAGCACCAGACTGCCCATCAAGACGGCCGACGGCCGCATCGAGCAGCTTCGCGCTCTCGAGGACGACAACGACGATGCCGACTCAGTTGAGAGTGACGGTGATTGGCTCGAGGGCAAGGAAGATGAGGACGCAATCGCTGAAGCCGAGGCCGAGAGACTACGCCAAACCCGCCGTCAGGAAGAGGAAGAATCCGACCTTCCGGAGCATGTCCAAATTCTCCAGGCGAAGGAGGAACTCGCCAAGATTGCCACAGCCCTGAGCGAGGACCCGGAGGAGAACGTCGGCGCCTTCAAAGCTCTCGCCAAGATCGGCCAGTCGCGGATCCCGACTATCCAGAAGATCACCCTGGCTACCCAGCTGGCCGTCTACAAGGACGTTATCCCAGGCTACCGCATTCGACCCGTTGCCGAAGATGCACCCATCGAGAAGCTGTCTAAGGAGGTCCGCAAGTTACGAGCCTTCGAACAGGCACTAGTCTCTGGATACCAGGGCTATATTAAGGAGCTGGCGAAGTGGGCTAAAGCCGACATCCCTGCCACGCGCAAGTCGGGTCAGAGCATTTCGAGCGTGGCCATCGCCTGTGCGTGCACACTTATCAACGCGGTTCCGCACTTCAACTTTCGCAACGATCTGCTCAAGATTCTCGTCAGCAAGCTCTCGAAGCGCAAAGTCGACGCTGACTTTGTGAAATGTCGCCGGGCTCTTGAGACTCTCTTCGTCGAGGATGAGGAGGGCCGCCCAGCCATGGAGGCCGTCTCACTGCTCGCCAAGATGATGAAGGCACGTGGTTTTGCCGTTGATGAGAGCGTGCCCAACCTCTTCCTCCACCTACGCCTGCTTTCCGAGTTTGCTGGCACGGGATCTCAGGACCGTGTTGACCGGCAGGCCGACCCCTCAGCACCACCTCCTAAGAAGAACAACAAGAAGGAGTTCCGCACGAAAAAGGAGCGCAAGGCACTCAAGGAGCAGAAGGCGATCGAGAAAGACATGCAACAGGCTGACGCTCTTGTCAGTCATGAGGAGCGCGATCGCATGCAGTCTGAGACGCTCAAGCTCGTCTTCGCGACCTACTTCCGCATCTTGAAGTTGCGTGTCCCGCATCTTATGGGTGCCGTGCTGGAGGGTTTGGCAAAGTACGCACACCTTATCAACCAGGACTTTTTCGGTGATCTCCTCGAGGCCTTGAAAGACCTGATTCGTCACGCTCAAGAAGATGCTGAGGGCGATTCCGAACCTACCGAAGAGGAAGCCGCCGCCGCGGCCGCTGAGGATGACGATGATGCTCCCGCTCGTAACACAACTCGCGAAGCCCTCCTCTGTACAGTGACAGCATTCGCCCTCTTGGCCGGTCAGGACGCACACAACTCCCGCTCAGAACTGCATCTCGACCTCTCCCACTTTGTGACCCACCTTTTCACTTCGCTTCCCGCGCTCTCGTTGAACCCAGATATCGAGTTGACATCCAAATCTCTGCACATTCGCCCCGGCGCGACGAGAGACAACCGCGTAAATCTGCAGACCACCACCGTCCTGCTCCTGCGCTGCCTCACGGCGGTGCTACTGCCCACCTACCAGATCCGCTCCGTCCCGCCGCTGAGGTTGGCCGCTTTTTCCAAGCAGCTCATGTCCGCTGCGCTTCACACTCCTGACAAGTCGACGCAAGCGGTACTGGCGCTGCTGCAGGACGTGGCGCACACACACGGCAAGAAGATCAGTGCGCTATGGCGTACTGAGGAAAGGAAGGGCGACGGCATGTATAATGCACTGAGTGACAGTGTTGAGGGGAGCAATCCGTTTGCGACTACTGTGTGGGAGGGCGAGTTACTGCGGAGGCATTTCTCACCCAAGGTTAGAGAGGGTGTCAAATTACTAGAGAAGAGTATCGGAAACGCATAATATAAGAATAGAGGAGTTGGGGAATAAAGACACGGAGTGCTTGTCGTTCAGAATAAGGCCTTTTGAAAGAGCATGTTGCAAGTTTGACGTTTGTATCACCGAGGCACACAGTGTGCCTCTATACCTACACATTCAATAAAAACGTTGCCGAAGTTACGGTCATTAAAAAACTTTTTGATTAGTCGTCTAAATACCCGATTCTAGACTCCAAAGTTGAGTAATCAGGCAACTGAATGGCAAAGGTTTTCTGCTTCAGACAAGACTTGATGCCGAAGCAACTTGCCTGCCACGTTCCTGATATCACCCTCTTCATTTTGTCGCCCACCAACCTGCCTATTGTAGGTCCACGGCTTGGTCTTCAATGTACCATGCATAGCAAGATAGCAGGCTGCGATCTTCTTGGAACCCCTGGAACGTAGGTTCACTGACTGAAATTACTGCAGAACACGTGAACAAATCTTTATCCGGCGGTCGTTCATCGGAACTTTGATGTAGACCTTCTCCAGTCGCATTATGGTCAGTAATGATATTGTTCATTCAACGACACAAGGAGAGGAGTAGAAAATTGGCCGTAACTGACCATTATGCTGGCGATGAGTAGTTGAGGCAGAAAGGAAGTGTTGCTCACAAGTAACCTTAGTCGGCCCAAATAGATGAAGTGAGGCCACGGCTGCGTCCAGGCTTCTGCTTCTCGAAAATCGTTGCAGTGGTTTTTGTAGGCCATCTTCTGACGTCTAGATTGTCCTCCTGGGTCTCGATAGTTGCAGGGGTCGCGCCAAACCAAAGAGGGTAGTGAGCCTTTACCTTCTCCAGAATAGGGCAGTCGGCGAAAGGGTGGTCATGTAAAAGGACATTGACGGGAAATTTGTGTTGAACGGAAGTCGGCAACGTATCTGAGACTCGAACATCGCCATCGGAATCGGTATTGAATCTGGAAGCATTAAGGCCAAGAACAGGACGGCTTCGCTTAGGACAATTGCACACTAATTTGTCCGTAAGCTCCTTTATCACATGAACTTCACTTGTAGGGATCTGTTGCTCGTGATCTTGGACAGCCGAAGTCTCCTTGATGACGGGACTTGCCTCAGAGCTTTTGCCCCCAGCCATACAAGCTCTGAATTCCTGTTCATTTGGAAGCAGCCGTCCAGACTCCAGTTGCAAGAAAGCCCATAGGGCGGTACCAAAAAGAGGCTCTTCATTGACAGGTGCAGTGGCAGTGACACTAGTCGACGTATCGTTTGTAGCAGGCGAGGGTAGGTTGAGATCGGCAAGCAAACGAGTAGCTTGCCCCATACAGTCAATAGACTTTGCAATGGGCTGGCTTGCGTTCAGGTCGATCAGAAATGAAGAAACCATGCCGGTTTCATTATTCTTGGTGTCCCCTCCATGGTCATTTCTGAATCGGGCCTTGTTGGCGGTGGCATCATCTTCAACCCACTTATGATGTCGTTGTCCATCGGAAGGAACAAACAGCTCCACCTTGTTACCAACGGAGTACGCACAATTGATTTTGTTAGACTTGGATTCGTTTTCTGACGGCCTTGTAATTTGGTCTGTGACTGGCTTGATCATCTTCGGCTCAACAGGCGTAACATTGCCGCTACGAGTCTGAAAGATAGTAAGCGCTTGCAAACTAACGAATGTCTGTGCTAGACAACTTACATTGAGAGAAGTGGGTAGAAGAACAGTGGGAGCAGCAGGAACTTCCTGCGCGGCAGAAGCAGAAGTAAGCTTAATTGGGTTCTCTCCATTAACCCAGGCCGAGAGATCAGCGTCAATCAGGGTAAGCGGTTTGTTATCATTGGTCTGTGAAAGAACTCGTTTCTGTGGAGATGTCGAGAATGAAGAAGATATAGGCCGTGTTGCTAAATAGGTCAGTGAATCCAGGCCCATACTTCAGTACAAAACTTACGCATGGGTTGACGAGTGAGGTGACGAGAAGAAACAGATTGGGAATCTATCTTCGGGCCAGAGCTTACGGGTCCATTACCCCTGCCTCTCGAACTGCCTTTGTTATTCCTGGGGCGTCTTGAGTTGACACCAGTTTTAAACTCGCTCTGTAATAGTTTCGCGAACTCCATTTGTGCCGTTGAAGCCATTATGACGTGCGTTAGCCTTGTGAGACACGTTGTGATAGTATCGAAGCCTTCTCGGTGATCTCTATCTTTCCTGATCAATGCGTTACAAAGGTATTGTAAGTTTTGACCCTAGAATTTACCTTGGGTAACGAAGTTTGTGGCCGAAGTTGGGCTCAGATGATCCTTCCCAGACACATTCAAAGGCAAGTATGGCGATCAAAATCTAACGTCCGGATGAATCGAGACTGTATAGTGTCAGTTTTTGGTTTCAAAGTTCACCTTTGAGAAAGAGGCGTAACTGAACAGTAACGACGGATAGAAATTTGACCCTGCAGGTTGTCAAAAAATTGTACCACTCGGTTTGGGTCGAAGAAGCGGGTGTAAAACGGAAGTCTCGTGTGTCTTGGCATAAACCGAGGCAAGAGCGATGTGAGATGCTTATAAAAGAAGGGGCATGGCGTGGGAGGCTGAGTATGGGTACTTGAATTTATGGAAGTGGGAAAAGTGCTATGAAAATAAAGGATGGAAGGCATCGACTGGTTGTTGATGGAGGAGGGAGAAGATTCCGGTGTATCTTTGGAAGGATCAAAGATCCCACGTCCAGGAAGGGCCAGGGAAACAGCATATAAACATTTTACCTTTCCAGTTTTATGATTGTGGTCTAGGTTTCTGAAGAATTCGTGATGAGCTCTGAGCTGGAAGAAGGGGGCAAGTTCTTCTTGACCGAAGTGAATAAAGTCGTGGTTGACAGAGTTGATGATGGGAATAGGTGTAGTGGAAGAAGGAAGATTCGTGATAAGTGCTTCGAAGTAAAGATGTAATTAAGAAGACATACGTTTGAAAGCTCAGATAAATAAGCAGGTTGGGGTCATCTACTTGCGTGCGCAGACACTGGTAGGAGCCAATATCAGAACCTTCCATTTCCGAATGAATGCAAGAGACGACGATTGGGGAAGGCCGTGAGGAGACCAGTGCCCTAAGAGCGTAGATAGCCAGTCTCCTAGATGGGTAACATCTGACTCATTTCTATGATACCTATCTAACGGTAATCGGGGCGACAGTTAAATCATTTTTGGGCGTGAAATGTGATAACGTAGAAAGCACGAAGCCGAAAACGGTCGCTCACCCGGTAGCCAATGCAGAAGGCATTGACTTGGTAGTATTAAGTAGTAAGGCTGGAACAACAAGCACAGGCTAATTTGACTTAAATTTCTGTGAGTCTGATACAAAAGGGAAGGCATGTTGGCGAACCTCTCCTTGTGCACATGAACTGTGTGAACATGAATACTTATTGCGACAAAGGATGGATTGAGCTATCTACCAGCTTTGGGTATCTTGTTCATCTAGTAGTGGTAGTATCTCGTCTTCAGACATTTTCAATGTCAAGGCTCTTTCCCAACAAACATGTTACTCTCCAAAGATCCCTGGCAATGCTTCTTTTTACCCTGCCTATGCCAGGGATAATTCATGCTTTGCCTGTCTTCTTAACAGGAACTAGCTTTTCTTCGATTTTCAGCTGAGTTTGGCGGTATACAGTGTCGCGAGCCTCATCAAACCAAGCTATCCTAAGGGGCGAGACGTGACCCTGAACGTAGTCAAACAACGCCTTCGACATGGGAGCGCCCATACGAATCCCGACAGATGATACCCTGTGTATTCCGAGAGAAGCACTGAGCCTTTCAGCACATGGCTTCGAGTATCCAACAAGTCTCGTTGGAGAAGGAGAAGCTTTCGAGGCCACAGCAACCATTTGTGGTAATTGACAGTTGAACGCCGATGACTGACCGGAGCGAGCAACGAAGATGACTGCGTAAGGGCCGGGTGTAGTAGTCGTGCAATCGCTATCATTCGATGGTTGCTCTGAGCTCTGTTGCGCCGTGGCAAGCTTCTCGAGATTGCGAGTGATGCTGGCTAAACCGACGTCGACGAAGGAGGCGATCTCGGGCGTGGGTGGACGGTCTGGCTTCTCTGATATCTTTGTGTTTGCAGACTCTTCCTTTCTCTTTCGCTTAGCAGCCCGTTTGCCTTCAGATGGTTTCACATGCTTTTGGCGGTGTTGACCAATGGGCATTAGAAGACTGTGCAATATTAGCAAAAGAATTTACACGCAATACAAATAATTATGGGTGATAGATTGACCGCATGACGGATAGTGTCGGTAACTCGACACTCTAGGGCAGCCTTTGCTAATAATGGAAAGAGTTGTTCGTCGAACAGAAACATACTTGCAAAGCAGCTCTAAGATGGCATCCTGGTCTTCAAATGAGACTTCTGGCCTACAGTTGACTCATCAGTCACGCCCAAAAAACCAAGGCTGGGTTTGAGGTTACCACTGTGTTGCTGAGAAAGGGGTGTCGACTGAATACACCAACTTCTTCCTCAAGGGGGCAGACATAGTTGTTATTGCTATAGCAAGGGCTTGTGCTTATAGTTCGAGCTTTGAAGGGAAATTGACACCCACAGGAATGGGCAGAAGAGATTGGCGAAAAGAGTTGCTTGAATTAGGCCTTCGACTGGGGCAGCTACGGCAAGACTTCAAGACTGGCCAAAGTGTTCGTAGCAGCTGAATATCGCGGCCATAAAGTGTCTAATACTAGCCTATGGATGGTGAAAAGTCTGTTACCAACCTGACTTAACAGCCCAAGAAACTCAAGGCCAGCTTGGTGAGCTGCTGTCTGATTTCAATGAAGACCACGCGCCATATGAAGGCTTGATGTTGGAGATTGTTAGAGGAATATGTTGAAGACTGCTTATGATGCTCTTTTGTTTCACAACAATCTGCAGTCTCGTTTGCAGGGGCGGCAGTGGTGGTAGCGTTGCAAGCAATGGATGAAAAGCATATCAGTAGTCACATGGGGGGAAAAAACGATAAGAATAAAAATCAGTCGTGACGCGAGGCTAATTGGGCGTGGCCTTAGCGGCCGATACGCCGATAAGCGAAGATGCTAGCGTGGGCCAGAAGCGATCAGAGGGGAAAATCCAGACGAACAGACACTAAGCACCAGTTCCAAATGGCCATGATGAAAGTAACGGGTGAGCTCATGCCAAAGGATTGAGACTTATTAGTCGGAGAATTGATGTCGATCTTGAAAGCGCCTTGTCAGTCACGGCAAGAGCAGCATTTTAAAAACTGCTTTGAGAGAATGGAGGAGGATCAGCCGTCGGAAATACTACTGTTGATAACGGGAGAATTAGAGGCAGCAGGGACAAGGGCAAGCTCTCTGGGCCCCGCAAGAGCTACAAGGCCGTCCATTCAGAGGGGCACGGACGACAACGGAAGGAACAGCCTGGTCGGGCAAGCGGCGCTGAGAGGCCGGATGCTACATTAGATGCTTCCCAGGAATGAGTTGGATTACATTTACATACCTTTTTTTTTAAGGGTTTAAAGTTGTTGCCTGGATCGAAGTTATCCATATGCAGAATGAGAGAAGAGAAGCAGGCTAATTTAAACGTGTAAAAAGCAATTGCCTTGGTGTCAAACAAGTAGGATGTGTAATCTGGATAGTACAGTCAAGGCTTCGAATTTTTACACCTTCATTATTGCTGTCATCGTTATTATAATCTAAGTGTTGATGTTATCTTCGGGATTCCTTCAGAAAAAAAAGCGATAAGTAAGATGAATCTTTTGGCGACAAGAATGCCTTTCACCTATTCCTCTTCACAGTCTTCCTGTCGAGAGAAACGCAGGTTGACTGACCTAACATTTAAGGCCATAATAAAGATGTGAGAAGATAATACTGAAGACTGCTGATCTTGAGCAACGCACACACAACCAGCTCTCGTCTTGTTAAGATATGCACCCTGCTTCAGATGCCGATTGGACAGCGGCTCTTTACAGGACCGAAACGGCATATCACTAGGTTTGGTTGATCTATTTGTGCCCTTGGCGGCTGCTGTCACAACCTGAGTGACCAAACAGTCAATCATACAATCATTTAAGAAACCTGAACTTTCGAGTGACGCAATTGCAGTGGGATCGTCTGCCTTAACTGGCAGCATATCTTACTTTTTCCCAAGCCTGAAGAAACAGAAAGTCTAACATTGTTGCGGTACGTACCGGCTTCTCACTACCAACCAGAGCACACCCACCAACGCCACCAGCAGCAACAGCCACACCTTCAGACCCCTCTGGTCCGTTGAGCTCCTGGCTTCTCGTTGACGCAAAGGGTGGAAGGCAAGACAGTCATATCACCTGCCACCTGCTCTTTCTCTGTTACGGGCCACAAACAACCCTCATTCGATCCCCCACTGCAAAAGAAGGCGGCTAAACCTCCTTCCTGCTTTGCATCAAACTGACTCACTACTCTTGCACAAAGAAAGGGAAACAAAGTCCTACCACGACCTTTGATATTGTATCTGCATTGTCCTTATCTTCTCGTTCACGCACACGCATGAGTTGGTGCTCACCAGTCAGCAGAAGGCTGCACTTCTGAGGTGGCTAATCGGGTATCGGCATCCCATTCAAACAGGGTCAGGTAAGAACAACAACGAGGGAAAAACAAGCATCGATCACCAAGTGAAAAATTCAAGACAAGGCAACAGCAAAGGACGGATCAACAGATGCTCAGACGTACTGGCTATCATCCGAATACTACGACTCTACTGATCTCCTTCTCGCTTCAGCTGCTCCCTACCCTGCAGGTACGTATGGCTCTTGCTTACCTTACATGCCTGCCTTTGGTACAAACTCTACCCCTCCCCACTTGGACAGGACTGTTTTCCGGACCATGCGCCTGTGCCACACTGCACCGTCACCCCGCACCTTCCACCATCCAAAACCTTTCTAGCATCAACGTCGCGCGCCTAAAGAAGCTGCCCCCGACAAGCTGGAACGTCCCGAAAGGTACATTGTCTAATCTACTACCTAGCTGCTCACCCTTCTTTTGGAGACAAGAAAGGATATTTGTCCACGAAGAACACCAGCAAGCAACATTCCGACTTCTTTTAATGGGAGAAAATTCACCTGCTCCTCCCGACCTCTGTCTTTTGCTCTTTGCTAGGCACTGACAAGCTAAGGTGAGGCAAAGCACGGAAGTCTCCTACTTCCACTAACCTATCTCTGCCATCATTACACCACCTACGATTATCCACCTCGCAAGCGTAAGGTACCTTCCCGCCCGTCCCTTACCTCATCCTGCCCCATCTGCGTCTCCAAACCGATGAGCATCCTCCCCTCCCCCTCCAAAGCTCACAGCTCCAGTGGATTCACTTACGCCCGCACCGCGTCTGACTAGAGAACCAAAAAAGGACGACGTGCACCCCTGCACTTCCCCCAAAAAAGCCCACCTTGAACACAACCTGCTTGGGTCGTTGGACTTCAGCCTGCACTTCGGTATCGTCACCTCGACATCCTTGCGCTCTCCCCCCAATCATTTTTTCCCCAAGCCCTCTGCTCTTACTGAGGCATCAAGCCGCGCAGCCTTGTTCGTTTTAATCTATTTGCCTTTCAGTCATTACTACTCACTGCGTGCAATCTTCTGTTCTCCTGCTCCGGCACCGTCGCTAGAAAAAAAAAAAACCACATGCTAATTCTGGCCAGCTGCTACCGAGTCGTCTCTCGCGCCCGAGTGACGTCTCTGGAGCTCCAGGACCCGCGCTGCAACTCCTCATTGCACCAACCAGATGGACCAGCCTACAGGATCCTCGGAAGCAACAGAACGCGCGGTCTCTTCTGAGCCTAGCTCAACCAGACCAAACCCCTTCACTGAGGGCGACGACGCCTCCAGAAAGCGGCGCCGTACTTCCATGTCTGGAGGCTCCCGAAGCCGATCTGTGGAAAGCACTAGGCCGGGGCTCGACAACTCAAGCTCTCCAGCTACAGACACCCTCGCCGAAGATCTCAATACCCAGGAATCCGCCATGAAGATAGATACCGGGCCTTCCACTCCGCAAACACCTGAGTTGCAATCAACAACCCTCGAGCCGCCGATAGAACCCCCCTCGAGCCGTGTTACGATAAACCTGCGCAATGCCGCCCAACTTGCCCCTTCCTCCTCGTCCCCAACCTCGCCGACGCCGCGAACGTTATCGAGCCAGCCGACCGATCCTTCGGAAGGCGTCAAGAAGAGCGTTGAGGACTTGGAGGAAGTTGACATGATACAAGCTCCGATAGAGATCACAGATACCCCGCCGTCTACATCATCGAGCATGCAGAGTCCCGAAGTTGAGGTGGTTGCCATCCCAGACGATGACCAGGATGCTCCTTTCGACGACGAAGTCAGCATTATCAGAGAAGATACGTCTCCTCTCGATCCGACCGCCGACTTCCCATACCATGAGCCCAATGAGCCGCTGCAAGAAACGGTATCCAAGCTAATTAACTACCTCTCTCCGCCCCGTAAGTTTCCCCTTACGTCTTAAGATTCCGGTCCTAACTGAACATAGAAGTACCGCCAGATGAAGCCGTGCTAGACTCCTTACGAACTTGGATGATATCATACATAAGATATGTGGGCACTGTTGGTGTCAAGGCTGCGTACGAGACGCACACTGCTTACCATAACTTCTGGCATATGTTCCCAGAGCTTGCGTGGATGATATCTAACAAGAAGTTAGTGTTGCATCTCCCGCTAATTGGAATAAATTGCTAACAATCTTGTACAGACTATCGGTGACGCGGGACACCCGGCATGCCATTACCGAGTTCTTCCTCGCATACTCTAAACTGGCCTCTTTCTTCGTCGAGTTCGATTATCTGACTGCTCAAGCGTTCCAAATAGCCCCGGAATCTGAGCGTCGGCAGCCAGATTTTCTGCTTGGTCGTTATGTGCCGCCCCTAATGTCCTTCGCCCGAAGAGAAGAGTCACGATCGCAGAACGGGCAGTTGTCTGATGAGGAGAACTACTGGTCACGGTCAAGTGACATTGCGGAGATGATGAATCTGTTTCAGTCAGAATCTGGTAGCATCAAGGGGCTGAGCAAGCTCACGCAGGTGCATCTGAACAATGCCCCAAGATACCAGCACTTGATGGATGTGCTATTGCCAATCGCTAATATCACGGCTCTTGTCCTTCAAAAGACGATCCAAGCCGTGCGCGCTCAAGCAATACCCGAAAATATTGAAATCGCAAAGGCAAGACTGGCCGAAGGCCATGTGCTTTACGACATGGTTTCCGGCGCCTTAAATACCATTATCGAGAGGAACGTAACTCAGCTCTCCAACGAGACATCAGCAGCAATCATAACTGCCCTGTCCGAGATTCTCAAGTATTCATTGAACGGTGACGATGAGTTGGCGACCGAAAGACTGAAAGCTCACCGGCAGCGCTATCCCCAATTACCTTCCAAGTTCACCCCGGAAGCTATCTCATTAGAATGGCGGCTCAGCATGCTTGGGAAACTCATTACGTCCAGTCAGATGCAGCTGCGCGTTATGGCAGCCTCAACAATGTGTCATGATTTGGTGACCTGCTGGAAAAAATACGGCGACAATGAAGAAGATAGCAACCAACTCCTTACGTATGTTGCAGAGTATCTTCTCCGTACCAAGCTGGTCGACTACATTCTCGGACCGACTTGTCACCCTGAAATCACGCTGGAAAGCGGCAACATTGTTGGCTTCCTGGTGGTTACGCGCTTTTACCGCAACGAGCAATCCGACTTGCTTTGGCAAACGATCACAACAACCCAAGACCCGCGGATTGCAGAAGCATTGATGCGTATGACACAGAGCATAGCAAATCTCTTCTACAAGGAGCAGTTGTTGTACTTGTGCGAGAAGCTGCATAGCCTTCCCATCGACAACTTCACCTCGCCTGTTCGAAACCTCTGTGATGCCATCCTTCGGAACCTGCAGACAAAGTTTCAACTTAATGGAGAGACCCCAAGCATCTCACCATTGAGTCTTTGTATCCGTCTTCTACGACAGTCGTCAGTGTATAGTCCGGACTCGCACATTGCATATCCCGAAGTGCATCATTTTGCGATGACCAAATTCAGGGATTTGGCTAGAGACGGGCTTGATCCAGAGGTTCGAAAAGAGTTCTACGCCGATTGCATAAAGGATATCGCCGCAAAATCTTCCACAACGCTGGGCACTCTCTGGTGTCTTTCTATGGCTTTGCGGCCCGCTATCGCGACCGAGTTGCGTGTCCTAACAACGGAACATAACCTTACAGCCCTGCTTGTTGATGAACTTGAGCATGCAATCGAACAAGGGAAACAGGCTGGAATTCCAATGGTTCTCTGCGAACATATCAATTCTCCTCGCAGAGAGTTAATTAGCTGCATTCTTAACCACGAACCTACCACCGTCTCCGCCGATCTTGGACCACGTCTTTGGGATATGCTAGTTGGTCATGGTACTGCTTGTCAAGAGGATCGGAATGCCGGCTGGTTGATCATCAATACAATTCCAGACTCGGCGCTTGGAAACCCGTTTCTGTCGGTATGTTTTACTGAGTATCTGCCTAATCTTGCGCGCGATTGTCTCTGCGAAGGCGCGTTACAGTTCGTCAGAAGTGCAGTGCTTCCTCGCGTCAATGACATCAACGATATCATACTGGATGATGAGGAGAGTCTTGCACAGAGTGGGGTGGAACAACTTTGGCGCATGATCCTTGACGCAGACAATTCGACGCTCGTGGAAGCCGCAATCCAGACACTCGTGGGAGAAATCTATATTGATAGCAAGTCCATCCTGACATACCCGCATTATAGAGCCTGCCAAGTTCACCTTGGCTTGGTCAACCGTTGTCTGAAGCAGATGGAAGACGCTGCAAAGCGTCTGGAGTCCTTCAACGATGGAACTCGGAGTGGGGACGACGAGCCTATGGTTATCGTGGCGACAGATGAACAGATACGGGAGCAAGAGCGCATCTTTACACGCTCACTTGCAGTTCTTCGGCACTTCCTCAAGGCACACCAAGCCAAGTCCCATTTCTCTGCTCCTGATCTTCGCGCTCTTACTCCTGGCTCACCAAGTGTTGCCGAAGGAGAATCGGCTGAACTTAAGTTCCAATCTTTTGATGGCAATAAACAGACGGACATAATACCCTTGGAAGTTGGGCGGCGAAATACGGCGGCTTCCCTTTTGGCCAGCATCAGGCAAGCCACTGGTTTCGAAAACTATCGGATTTACTATCGTGGACATCCATTCGCACCCAACGAGGTCGATGTTTGCCGGTCCTTGGAGGAATTGAAGATCCACGACGGTCTGATTTTGGTCAAACGAGATGAGAATGGCATAGCCGCGGCGACTAGGATCAAGCCAGGTGCCTCTCTTCTTGAGATTGAAATTCTGGGACATTTCAAGCAACTGTGGAATTACCTGAGTATGCAGGAGACTCTTGCTAGAGAGGTATGTGCTTGTCTTATCTGATGTTCCAATCTTTAAACTAACGACTTCATAGATTCATGCGTTCTTAATCAAGCTACCCGCAGATGCGCAGATGCTGGCTGCTTTCGATTCTCCTGACACGTCTTACCATCAGATATTCCCACTGGGGCACACATTTAAATCCCTCTACGCTATATATGCGATGAAGGAATACATGGATTCTGCTGCTCGTCAGTTGAAAGAAGCTACTTCCACCATATCCGACGACGAGGTTGCTGTTGAACTTTACCTCGAAGCTTTAGTAAGGGTGCGACACCTAGTTGTAGCAGCTATTTCCGACCCCGCAATTATCGACAGCTGTCCTTCTGAGACATTGAAAAATCGGCTGACATTCAGCTTGATGAATGCCTACATGCTGACTCTTAGAGGTAGCTATACCGGGATATTTGCAAACAAGCTAGCTAATCATGATACAGAGCCAGAGGTCTCCGGCCTCTCCTTCAAGCCCAAGGCTGTAGCCATAGCACCCGCCAACCGACTAGTCGACATTCTAAAGTCAGCTGTTATCGGACGGCGCAGCGACGCCTTAGTCTCTCTTGTAGCATCAACATTCACAGCAATTCTTAGAAGCATTTCTATCGACTTGAACTTTTGGACCGCTTTCAAGTCCCTGCCAAATCTAGAAGAGCTTTTTGGAACTCTCCTTTTGGAAGAACCTTCTGATACGATTCGTTCCAACATTGCCAAATTGATTGAGGAGAGAATTATTTACCCCGTGGAGTGAGTTCCCACCACTAACATATCTTTTATAGTCTACTTACACAAATGTACAGGCCGACTATCAATACTCGCGCTTTCCGTGAATTTCTTTGGCCGGTCCTTACTGGGCTCATTCTCAGAGCTACGAAGTTACCAACACAAAGCCAACAAGTCTTCGGGCTAGCTCACACCCTTCTAGTGGAGTTGACTATTGATAACCCAAAAGCAGTGGATATACCTGAATTGGCACGGCAATGCGGTGACCTTTTACTGGAACACGAATCGATTGAAGTGAGTTAGTTCAACCCAGTGTCGTAAGCTTCCACTAACAGGATAAGATACTTGGACATGTCGGGTCTGAGGACACAGTGGCTAGCGGCTTGGCGAATCTCCTCTCCAGCTGCCTAAGAGGCGAGATGGACCTGGACGTAGAACAGGAGCTCCCAGAGTCAGTCCAACAGGATGTGAAGTTAATGCGCGCGGCTAACAAGCAAAACAGGAATCTTGGCAGTAGATTGTTCTGGAAACACCTATTTCCGCCTCCCCGGCAGCAACACGGCGCAGGCCGAACCTGCATTCTATCAACTCAAACTAGATCAGTTATGACCGACATCATCTTCGATTTGGTATGTAACTCGGAGCGAGAGTTGTATATGATGCTTTCCGACTTGGACAGCCTGGTTCCATTCGATGAATTTGACAGCGGTTTGTTTCTCAACTCCATCGGTGCCAGTGGATTTGCTCACATTTGGTTCAGATCCATATCTTTACGAACTGCAACCACAGTTCGATCGCATGTCTGCAGTGAGAGCTGCATGTGGCTATGCAGGGCTTCGGAATCTTTCGAACACCTGTTATCTAAACTCACTCCTAACGCAACTCTTTATGAACACCGGCTTTCGCCACTTTATGATAAATGCCCGCTCTTCCGATCAGCTGCAATCCGGAAATCTACTCAAGGAGACACGGAAGTTGTTCGCCTTCATGCAGGACAGTTCGCGCAAGTTCATTGACCCTAGCTTACTTGTCGGATGCATCAAGACATACGAGGAGACCCCCATTGATGTTCACAACCAGATGGACGTTGATGAATTCTACAATCTGCTTTTTGATCGCTGGGAGGGACAGCTTTCAGCGGCAGAGGAAAGAAAAGTTTTGCGGTCTTTCTACGGCGGCCAACTAGTGCAGCAGGTTGCCTCCAAAGAATGCGAACACATTTCAGAGCGGCTTGAACCTTTTTCGGCTATTCAGTGCGATATCAAGGGAAAATTGACATTGCAAGATAGTCTTCAAGCTTATGTAGACGGAGAAATCATGGAAGGAGGTGAGTATTATTACTGCCAGCATACCCGAGTAAGGCTGATAAGTTCTAGACAACAAGTATAAGTGCTCGAGCTGTGATCGGCATGTCGATGCAGTCAAAAGGTTCGTCTGCCTTATCCTGAACATTGGGTCTGTTGCTAAACATCTCTCCAGGGCCTGCTTAAAAGACATTCCCGATAATCTGATCTTCCATTTGAAACGGTTCGACTTCAATCTTCGCACATTGATGCGCAGCAAGATCAATGACTACTTCTCCTTTCCCAAAAAGATCGACATGCGCCCATACACGATTGATCATCTCGGCTCCCCTTCTGATTCCGGTGAAGAAGATATCTTCGAGCTTGTTGGCGTTCTTGTCCACGCAGGCACCGCAGAATCCGGCCATTACTATTCGTACATCCGAGAGCGACCCAGCACCGGTTCTTCCGAGAGCTGGTTCGAGTTCAACGACGATGTCGTCTCCCCATGGAATCCAGCGGATCTGGAAAAGTCAACATTTGGTGGTCCGGACATGCCCTTCGACAATGGCGTGTCGTACGATAAGACCTACAGCGCGTACATGCTATTCTACCAGCGGTCATCGGTTTTGAAGGCGGAACAGGAAAAATTGGAGAGCCTTCGTCTATCAACTCCTTTGAAAGTCGAGGTTCCCGCTGCCGTCGCCGAGCATATTATGGGAGAGAATACCATCCTACTTCGACGCCACTGCCTTTACGACCACAGTCACTCAGCATTTGTTCTCAAGATATTCGAGCACACCCGGATGCGGAACGGAGGCAGTTGCTCTTCAGTACATGCCGTAGAGCAGCGGGCGATGCACATGCTTCTTGGCCATCTCGACCAAGTTGTCTCGCGAACCAAGGATCTACCTTATTTTGATCTGTTTCGAGACGAAATTGAGCATGCCTGCATCAACTGCGTTAAGTGCGCGATGGACTTTTTCGAATATTTCCAGGAGCGACACGAAGCATTTCGGCAGCTTCTTCAGAGAAACCCGGACACCAATGTCAGATACGCAGTGGGCAGCATGTTTATCACAGCTCTCCGAAAGATCAAGGCCTCAGAACCTGAGCTTTGGAGCTTGTCTCAAGCAGACATGATGGAAGAACCTATCATGGTGCAGGTTATGCAGTTGTTTGACACTCTTTGGAGCAACTTTCACGCTAATATTCGGGCTTGGCCTGAAGTTTTTCAAACAATCCTATCTTTTGCCAAACTGGGAACATTGGAGACAGCCTTACTCTTGTCAGAAGACTGGTTTGTCAAGGTGTTGCGCATTGTTTTCGCGGATGCAAACTTGGACATGCCTAATCATTACGTCCGAATGCTTCAGAACGTGATTCGTCGCGTGAACAACACGCGTGCGATTCAATACGATATGATCATTCAGTTGATCGACCACTTCATTGGTTCTCTAGAGGATGTCCTTGACGCTAACGCAATCGTGGATAATCCTGAGTTGCGGTTGGAAATTTGCATGGAGCAACGCCCGCAAAAACTGCCTTGGACACCAGTGGAAGTCAACATTCTACTTCATGAGTGGGGCAAAGGAGCCGGCAGCACTTTTATCAAGAAGCTGATTGATCTGAATCAAGATCACATCTCCACGGCATCTATCATTAAGAGGGTCATGAGCTTGAGCTCCGAGATGGAGGTCAAAGTCTTCTTCGCAATCAGGAGCATGATTAGCGGGCAAATCGTGCAGTACTCGGTAGCCCCACATATCTCGGCAGCGGCATTGTTCTCTGAGCAAAGCAGAACCGCCCCTTATGTTCAGTCCCTTTTCCGCCACATCGCCGTTCAATGCCGGAACCTGCAGAACTCGGAAGGCGGTGCCTTTTTGAGTTTCTTCAAGCTGGCCTACGCCAGTTTGCAAACCGACAGCGACGAGGTTAAGGTTGGCCGGTATTCCTTGTATATCGACCATATCCCTGTATGGGCACCTAGCCTGCTAGGTTACTATGACCCCGAAATACGACGCGAGACGGAAGAATTCTTGTCTTTGTGGCTGTCGAGCCACGCGCCGGAGAGCAATGACGACAAGTTTGCAATTACTGTGAACATGGCTGCCCGAAAGCTTGCCATGAATTGCTTACTTTACATCAGAGAGAACTTCGTGCAGAGGCGGGCCCAAGTAGCGAAGCAGGCTACTGAAAATCTGCAAAGTATCATTTTCGCATGCGAACCGTATTTTCAGATTGATGTCGAAGCCGAGGGGGATCGCATCGTAACGCAGACCGAATTCCAGGATATTTTTCGCTGTAAGTGGCTCGCAATACATGTTATCAGCTTAAAAAGCTAACCTCAAATGACAGCAATTATTGAGCCACTCCGACGCATGACGGTGGAAGAATTGGAGGATGAGGGCTCCGGTATGTCCCCAGGACTCTACAGTGACTCGGATACAATCGCCTCAGGACCATGAGGGCTGACTTGTCGGCGGCCCAGACTGGGAAAACTCAATCGCATCATCAGAACCACTGGAGAGCATGGCAGACATCAGTATGCAGGCGGTCTGTGATTTGCCAGATGCGGAACAATGAAAACAAAAGAACACCCATAACGACGTGAATGACCACAAGATTACTTGAACAATTTCTTTTTATTGTGCGACATGGTAGGGAACAGTCCAACCACGCAAGGCGTCAAAGGAGACGAGTGCCATTTGGAACGAATATCGGACTAGCGACATGAAGCGCTATACGGGATGGTGGAGGTCTTGCATTTTAGTGGCGTGCCGGCGTTCTAGGCCCAGAAAAGGGTGAACGGCTTTAGCCGTTGAATATTGATGGCGACGATGGAATTGAAGTTCATTACGAGTGGACCTTGGCGAGATCAGTAGATGAAGCTCCGTAAGGAGCCACGAGCGGCCTGCATTGGGACCAGCACAGTTGAGATTGCAGAGGGAATGTGATAGAGCATCCATGTATTGTCAACGCTAGGGTAGCCGGCGATGACCTCGCATCAGGTTTAGCGAGAGAAAGACGGGAATGTGCAAGTTATTTTTGGCACGCAATAGCGTGGACCGGCGTGAAATCACCATAGTCTATCGACCAGCTTTCCGGGCAGGTTTGGACGCTACATTGGCCTTTGAGGTGAAGGTGCGAAAGGAGGTAACTACGGATAAGGACGTCCTCTAAGATTAGATCAACACGAGTAACCAAAGATGGATTTGTATTATGGTAACGGGAGGGGGGAAACGGGCCATGGAAGTCGTTGCCGAGTTCCAACCGCCGAACATTAAGACGACTGGACTTGCGATATCGTTTTTAGTACAGAAAAAGGGACCCCGTTTGGGCGGAGGCGATCACTCAATTGGCCCACAAGAGTTGCAGGGACGAAGTAGGTCTGCAGAAGGAGGGGCAGGTTGGCAGCTCACACGCCAAACTAAAATGACTAGCTGGCATCTCACGTGGGAGGAGGATCGTTCTTATTTTGAACAAAGAAAAAATAGTAATCCCCAGTCACCGTAGATCATTTGTAGATCCAGGTAAGGATCTAGCTCGATTGGTCGACTGTGTTTGCGCCTAAACTAGAAGGTCAGACGGTCTCTTTGTGTTTTTTTTCCCCTTTTTATTATTTTATTTGTGTTTTTCCCCTCCGTAGATGTTCATATTTAGAACTGTGATGTGTAAGGTTACGAGGGGCGATCTGCCACAGCGAATGAGGTTCGCTCTTCGGATGTAGAGCGGTTGGACGGATTGGAAATGGTCCTAATGTCGGTCAGAGTCTAGACGCAGGGACCGACTGAGGCGCTGAGGGCGAGGGTGGAGGCAATCCAAATAGGAGAGGCGCTGGAAGATGGAGATGATGCGAAACGTTATTTTGGGATTTGGAAGTGCTGGTGATCCTTTGCGCAAAGTTAAAGTGGGCGGCTCACTCTGCGATCGCTCGCTGTGCGCCATTCCATGATCTTTCACGTTCCAATCAAAAACCTACGTTCGGTTTGAGACGATTTGCAATTCTCGCCGCCAGTCTTGGCAAGCTACGACGAGAAAGAGTGCCGTGTGAAGCACCGTGTGTTGCTCCTCGAGGCTGACGGGGTCTTGGCTCTCGTTTGGCTGGGTGAAACATGATTGGCAGCGTTCGTGAAGTAGTTTAGTTTTGGAGATCCGGCAGGTTGACAGCGGGTGAGGGAAATCTTTGGGGAGGGAAAGCACAGGCAGGATACAGCTGGATAGACACCACCGAAAAGCTAGCCGATCACAGGCTTATGGCATGTTTGGCGGTTTCGTGTGGGATCCTTCAGTTTGTGTGGCACGAGGCTCACCTGTTCTTATGACGTGCGTCTGTGTTTCGGAGATGGGGCGGTGGTGTGTGTACCACGCTCTTGGGACCATCACAATGGGGAGGGGAATTCGGACGAAAAGATCAGGTTGCTCTAGGTAGTCGCGATCGTTTTCGATCGGTGGATGGTTTTGTATGCCTCTTGGCACTACTGAGGGGTCAAAAAGAGCGAGGGGAAATGCGAGGACGAGGGCGGTGATGGATGGCTTGTTGCGATCTCGATGGCGGCAAGAGATAGCCAAGAAGACATATTGGGGCTGTTCTTACGTTGTCGAAAGTCTGTCCGTTACTTCTGGAGCATCTCCCGAGTCTATTACTGCCATGTACCTACCATCTTCAAGTCTCAAACAACGAAGTTGCACGCCCAGCCTCGACCGCATGGTTTGAACTTGATCATTGTTCGAAGTTTGCTATCTCCCCCCGGACGATGTCCCCATGATGGATCGACTGTCGAGCGGGAGGCAATTTATCTCGAGGGCATGTCGAGACGACGGCAAGAGAATCTAGGGAGGGTCTGATGGAGAATCTTCTGGGGTAAATTGACCTTTCTCTCGTAGTTTTTCCGTCTGTGACATGGAAACTCAAGTAAATTGGGCAGCGAGTCTCAGACCGAGTGTTCGGTTGATGATAGAATGGATTTTCAGGGCCATCGGGCTTAGTATGAGGCTTATCTGCCAATCCTCATCAACTTGAAATCGTGGCTCTTGGCTCCCATTGCTGGGCTTGTTTTTTTTTTTTTTTTTTTTTTTGCTTTCTTGGATTATTGCTATCTGAATCAATGGTGCTGGAATTGGCCAGGTTCCCCCAAGGCTACTACCCTTCTGCCATCCCTCCTTTTAGCCAAAGCTGGGGCCCGATGAAGGCCCCTCTTCACCGTTGCACCTCCCATCGTACCCGAAAGCAATCTATTTTTGACACTGGCGAGAACGGCGGGCCCGGTCATGCACGAATCCTTGCCCGGCACACACGTCGATCTGCCAAAATGGTACGTAGATTCTCGCTAGAAACTACCTGGCCAATAACATCTTAGAGACGAGGCGCGGGGTGGCGCTGAAAATAGCACCGTAGCCGCCGAGAGGGACGGGAGAAGCATGCGCTACTGCAAAAAGGAGCTGGGGAAATTCTACGATTGGACCACCTGGGTTTCTGGAAGGGGAGATTTTTTGGCATTTGGGAAATGACTGGCAGTTGACGAAAGAGGGGGAGCCTCCATTTTCTGACTTCATTTTTAGGTATTTTTGTCTGCGATGTGATGAAGTGCAGTAGCCTCTCTATACTTTGCTATTTCAATCTTTGACGTCGCCCATTCAACGAAGCTAGCTGGGAGCTACCTTACTTTTTGAGGGGTTAATGCCGTGCCTGTTAAGGTACGACTGGGTCAGGGTAGAACACGTTGGCTTGACGTTTGATGACGGGCTGAGATAGATGACAGCGGGGGCGGCAGAACCGCACCATCACATCACACCGTCAGTCCAGGTTAGATCGGCTCCTCTTTCCCTCCCGCCCTCCCACATTCCTTGGCCTTGTCACATCTGCCTCGTCACCAGTTATCCAAAATGCAAAGATGTGAGAAGACTACCGCAAAAAAACATTGGAAGATCATGAAACAAACACCTGCTCCCCCCCAACCCCACGCGCCGGCATATCCAAATGTTCCTCGCCTCACACCCCCCCATCATCTAGAAGAAACGGGTTTCATCTTTTTTGGCGCCTGGCCTCATTGCACAAAGCCTACGTCTGTCAGAAACGCCACGCCCAAGAAACCTTTTTTTATCCCACTTTTATTTTCTCCCTTCTTCACCCCGGCATACACGTAGTTTACAGCTGCGTGGTATCTGCGTGGTGGTGGGTCCTATCCGAAGTAGCCCTTGTAGTCGTCGTCGCCGCTGGTATCTTAAGTCCTCTTTGGCCTAGCCTCTCTCGACAGGAATAGAGGGGCACGTACCCGTAAGATTGTTTTGAGTTGCATCGCAGCAGACGACAAAGGGCAATTCGGGTGCTCAGGGGTCTTGCATACGAAGACTCTTGTTTCAGATTTTTGGGTTTGAAGGTAGCCTGTCCTACGCACTGCGTTGTTGATATATCTTCGTCTGTCCTCCCATTCATTGTTCTCGAATCCAAGACGAACATCATCAAACAAAGGCGTCGACGCCGAATACCATTCTCGACACTCTTTCAAGCTCAGGCCTGGTGCTCAGAGCCAATTTACCACCTTTTAATACACACTGGCCTGTTTTGCTTCAACTTCATCTTCGACTCTACCATCAACCTCTCGATAAAGTCAGTCACCATGACTCTCAGGGGCCGCATTTCATCGCCTTTGGAGGCCGGCACCTCTATTCTTGACGTCCAGAACCTGCCGCCACATCTTAATGAAGCCCTCGAGTATGCCTCAAAGAGGCTCGCCAGGAAGGGCCTTCACGTAACCCTAGTCATCGCCAGGCGGGAGTATCAACTTCCTAGACCCGTCCCATCATCTTCCGTGCTCACCTCGCCTACGATGTCGCCTCCTGCATCACCGCCAACCCCTTCCTCTCGCTTTGGCTTCGCCTCGCCAGTCTCGTCGTTCAAGAAGCTCGTTAGAACCAACACCGGCTCCAGCATCTCATCGGTTTCTACTGTTTCTTCAGCCGGAAGTGAAAGTCAGCGCAGCCCAGAGACCTTCACCTTCACTCCCTCCTTCTTGATGGATACCAATGGTCCAAGATTGAGATGGCCTTTGTCCCCGGGTATCCCACTCTCGCCACCTCCAATGACCCCCTCGGTTGCGTCTTCAATAATCACGGACGCCTCTGGGCCTATGTCGCCCAACCCTTTTGGCATCCGCCTCATCCACGCAGATCTGCTGACGGATAAGCAAGAGAGGACGCTCCGCCAAACCATTGAGCGCGCAGAGAGGAAGTTCCGCATTGGGTAGGCTTTTCTAAATTTTACCCTTGAGAGAAACATCACTAACACGGCCAGAACCGAGTGGCTCCCACCAGTTGTAGATGGCTCATCCTGTGGCCTGACAAGCAGCTTGATCCGCTGCTCTATCATCCAGAATGAAGTCCTGTTCGCCTCCGAGGGTTTGACTCTGGTCTCCTTGGACCGCCTTTACACTTTCAAGGCAGCTCTGTCCAGCTACTCACGCACGGGCGCACCGCTGAGGCTCGAAGATGCCGTTGATGAGCTTCGCCGTCTCATCCTCTCCCGCGCGGGCAGGAAGGTCTCCAAGTCTGACCTCCTCCGCTCCTATGACTGGCTCAGCGTCACCGATGCCGCTCTGTCAGATGTCGACAAGATGTACCGCAGGGCATACGGCGGCGTGGACCACATCGGCGCCATCGAGGGAGTCGGCTCTGCGGCTCAGGTGGAGATGACCATGAAGGAGCTCGAGAAGGACGTTGACGAGACCATGGCCGCGGCCATCAGCACCATCAAGATCAGCAAGCCACCATCGCCCAAGGGCCCCGTACTGAAGCTGCAGACCAACTTCGACACCGAGCCGTCCCCACCCATCGTTGAGGCCGACGAGCTTTCGGAGGATGAGGACCTGACAGCCCGCCCGGAGCGTCAACCGCTCGTATCCATTTGGAGCCCCGTATCCATCGCAGAGGTTCTGCAAGAGGACCGCTTGCACGACAACGGTCAGAAGCTGGGCCCGATGACACCCAAGGGATACGACGACATCTCGCCCATCACCAGAGGAGAATGGGGTTTCCTTATGGGCCCTAGCGGCGTCGGCGGTGGCCGGACGGCACCGGTCGTGACTTGCTAAATTATTTCTTTGTTTTGCATTTTAGATGTTTAGACAGGTTCAGGACCTTTTCTTCTTCTTCTTCTTCTTCTTCTTCTTCTCTTTTTCTCTTTTTCTCTTCTTGTAAGATAGCTTTATATCTCTGGTGGTGGCGACTTCACAAGTTTAAAGTTTGGATACCATGGCCGCGATGCCATTCATCATTTTGTACATTACCTGCATCATAAAAAAAACAGGAGACTTTTATATCATTCTGGGTATCATTATTTCGTGCTGTGCCTCTACCAACCGTATCGGTTCGATGCCTCCTTCCTATTATTCTTGCCTTTGGCAAAACTATCCTCAAGAGCCTCACGCTGGTTCTGCACAGCGTTGACAAGTTGCCGCAGATTGTGCTTGCCTGGTGCGATGGATCGCACGGGGTTGTGGATCTGCTGTTGACCAGCGGCCCTGAGCTCCTCGTTGTGCTTGTACTCCTCGTCTGTGTTAAAGTTGATAACCCTCGACGCTGTTTGCTGGCCTCCTTTTTGTCTGCCAAATAGTTCGCGTCGCGCTGCCGCGGATAGATTTAAATCATCGGCAATGTCATCGAGGGAGTTTCCGCCGGCGGGTGCTGTTGATGGTACTGGGTAGTTTCCATGCGCGCCGTAATCCGCGTAGCCATTTGACTCGTCCGTTTGTACCGTCTCGAAGAGTGGTTCGTATGCACCACTGGTAACCGTGGTGGTCTCCTCTGTCAACGTCTCTTCCGGCTCTATTGAGAAAAGGGAGACCTTCTTCGGTGCCGGCGCTGGCGCTGGCGCTGCCGCGGGGGCCAGCGTTTCCTTGGTCTCCGTCTTCGCTGGCTCGGCCTTTGGAGTAGCTGCTGTGGCCAAACCCGTCGTCTTCTTCTTTGTTTTCCTTGCGACAGATAAAGGTCTGAACATCATCGGCTTCCCAACCAATTTCACTTCATCCGCCGGCTTCATGCCATCCGGTATCGTTGGTTGCGGTGTAGCCTTGGGCGCTGGCAAGCTGAAGCCGCTATCGCCCGCGCTCGATCCCTCGCCATCGCCTCTATCACGACTGAAACCAGGCTCGGCTCCGGTCTTCAACTGGAATGCCGGACGCGAGGTGCTGCTTTGCGCCGGGGCGGCGGCCTTTGCGGCGTTCTTGGGTGCCGGTAAGAACGAGTTGAAACCGCTGAACAAGCCACTCTTCCCTGTTCTTGCACGCTTCGCTGGGGGCTCCTCGTTCGAAGGTTTGGGTTCTTCGGTTTGCGCCGATGGTAGATTGACAACAATCTTGCCTGGCTTCGACCTGTCGACGACTTTCTGGAACGGCTTCTTCGTGCCAGTAGATGTGGGCTTCGCGACGGTCGGCTTGACGGGCGCTTCGTCCTCCGACCCCGATGATTCAGAATAATCTACTAAGCCCATCTCCACAGTTGGATTCTCAAATTTGGTTGACGGAGAATAATTATGACGATTACACACTGGCCTAATGGATGACGGCAGGAAAGTTGAAATCAAGTGGCACCGCCACACTCTTGGTGCAAGGCTGGGCGTGGTCCACTTTGGCTCAGGTGCACGAGCCACATTTCTTACCTAGCCGTTTCACAAGGCTGAGAAGGCGCGACACACCGCGGCGGCGCAGTTACCCCTCGACGACTTCCTTCTGTGTCTGTCACTTTACCGCAATCTGCTTCAAAGTCTTGTGAGCTGCGCTCGCAATCATGTTCTTTGCCAGTTTGTGGACGTAGATTTCCATTGTGGCGATCTCTTTTGGCATGGTCTTCTACTGAACATTCCTTTCATACCCGGTGACTGGTCGCACCCTTACCCACGATGTCGGTCATCCAGAATGAAGAGTATGCACGTCTCAGTGAATCGTTTGGTTGAAATTTATTGACTTTCTGGGTTCATAGGCTGGTCGCGTATCAGCTGCGCTGTGGCTACCTTACAGAAATTGCCGATGGTGTCGGCGAACGCTTGATCACTCTTAATGAGGGGTTCATGAACTCGTCGGCTTTCAAGGCCGTCGCATGGCAAGCAAACCCAGATCTTGTTAAGCGATGCTACTCCCCTCCGATTCCGACTGCTATTGCCTCCGAATACTTTCAGGCACCGCGACAAGCGGGTGTCACCCTTGAAGATGAACCTGATGAGACTGGAATGTTGACAGGCGGGGGCACCGACACGCTGGGACCCGGTATGGCCACTAGAAGGAGGAGACGACGAGAAACACTGGAGGATGACGACAGCAGTGATTTGAGCGATGAAAGTGACGATGATGATCCCAGCCAACGAGCTGCTCAGCAGATTAAGTTCGCGAAGATGCCCGTCAGATCGAGGGCCGGCTCCAGCCCGATTCAGTCCTCCCAAATCAAGCAGTCCCCAGCCTTGTCCCCCCGAGCAGCCCCTGGAGCGCGACGAGGGTCGCAGTCAGCCTTGGAAATTGTCAAGGAGAGGGCTCGAAGAGACACTGTCACTAGTAGCGAAGTATCTTCGGAGAATGAGTTCGATGCCTCTGGATTCCACCGGCAGAGAGAGGCTGCTAGAGCTGCCGCCAAATCTGTTAAGCTCCAGGCCAAGATCATGGAGGAACCCAATATCGGAATCAAGCGGTCAGGTACGGGACTTTTGCCGGAAGAAGAGGAAGACTCGGATGGGTCAGATATGTCTGGGGCATATGTCGAAAGTATTGACTCGGCGTCTATTCTCGATGCCGTCCAAAACCCAGATCCTCCTCCTCACAAACAGGTTGTTGGCACACCTCCTCGAGAATTCACAAGAACATCTACAATCCGAAAGTCGCAAGCACCACCTAGAGTTCTTCGACCGTTACCTCCGCCTCGCCCTATGAGCACTATCCGGCCCATGAGCATGATTCAGCCCAAGAGCTTGTTATCTGCAGCACTAAAGGCAAGAAAGACTAAACCCAAGGTGCCTTTCGAGAACTTTGCGGCACTTTCTGGCCAAGGCGAGAATAACCCCATCGCTGTCCGCATCTATCCTGCATTTTCGGATGATCCCGAGAAGCCATACGAGGTCCTAATACGACGCATGGTGCACCACGGCGAAGGTGGTGACCGGTCTGTCACAGTTGCTGATCTGATTGGGCTCGCCCTTTGGAGATACAACGAGGAAAAGCGACAGCCTCCCATACCCTCAGATAAGACAAACATCAATTGGTGGACATTACGAATGGTGGAGGAAGATGGCGAGGTCGATGATGACTTCCCACCCTTTGAACGGACCAAAACGTTGACCTCTTTCACAACGGCTAACAACCGTGCGGCTGGAAGAATGCGCGCAAACTCCAAGACTCACGACAACTTTGGTCTGGTCATGGCTTCTCAATCCGAATTTAATGAGAATCAGAGCATTACGCCTCAGCCCGAGGAGGAGGAGACGGCTGTAGAAGAAACGGCAGATGAAGATACTACACCTCGCAACACGCCGCAGCCAAATATGCATCAATTTATGCCAGTCTCAGCGGAGCCTCGCCCGAACCCCGTTACGAATACTACCTATCGTCAACAGCATAGTATGTTCGCCGACGCACCTCAGGCGCCTGCTGCCGCGCCAAACCCTAGTCGAGGTCAACAAAAGCTTTTGCGCGTGCACCTTCATTCGACGGATGTGGCTCCTGGGCAACTAGTTACACTGGATACCACCACAGAGACGTACATGGCCGAGGTACTGGATCTTGTGTGTCGTAAGAGACAGCTGGACAAGGCCAATCACGTACTCAAAATGCCAGGTGGAGGCCCTGTGATTTTGCTTGACACCAAGGTCCAGGCGATCGGTAGTCTGTCGGATCTAGAGTTGCATCGGCGACGCTTCGCCACGGACGGCCCGCTTGCCATGACGGGCTCACCAAGTAGCGCTTCGCCGAAGCTCCTTCCCTTCGTGGACGGGCAGCCAGGACGTAAGGCGAAGAAGACGCACATTATGGGCAGCCACCCGCTCGCTCAAGAGGCGATCAAGCAGGCAGAGCTTACTAGTGCCTACCATAAATCGTGGGTTGTCTGGCGCTTGCGTACAGTCCGCATGATTACACAGTCGGAGAAACGATTCGAGATTGATGGAGAGTATGTGCATATCAAGCCGACGACAAGGGATTCCAAGACAACGACGGCGCACATATCACAGGTAATCGGATGCAAGGTGTCAAGCAAGCATCCGAACCAGTTCAAGGTGTGTTTGACATGACAGATTGCCGAGCAGGATCCGTAAGCTGACAAGCCGTGTGCGACAGGTCCTCATTTACCGTGACACCGAGAGTAAACGCTACGACTTCGAGGCCAAGTCGGTCGAGGAAGCGCATGAAATCGTCAACGAGCTGAAGAAGGGTGTATCTCAAGTTATGGGCTAATAGTAACTCCCCGACTAGCCCGCATGAAAATACATGACTTGAGGGTAGAGCGCTTTGTGGACGCGCCGTTATTATCTTCGCCACCCAACAATGGCCTACGCCACGTATTCACCGCCACAGCTGAACACCCTCTTTTTTTTTTCCCCGTCGAGTCAGTGACGTTTTCAACGGCGGGAGTCGCGGTCAGCGGTCGTTCCACAGAATGCTGACATGACCCGGAATTCGGTTGGTTATGACGAGTCCGACCCCGTCCTGCCCAGCAAAAGGGTGATTACGCGTCACCGACTGGCTTGCAGCTTATTTTAGGAAGTGGACTACGCCTTCATGACGGAAGGACGAGAATTATGTAATATACCAAGTCGGAGTAAACTGGACCGACCAGGTCCCCTTCCGAAAGTGGCAGGGGAAGCAAACAGGGAAAACAGGGAAGCAAGAGAGCAAAACAGCACCATTGGCACAACACGCCAATTTGATGGGGTAAGCGGATTTTGGTGTGGGGTACATGTCCAATTAAGGTTCGCATCCTGGCTCCTGCGTCATGCAGATCAATGCGATTGGAGCCGCGGGCCGGAATGCTTGGCGCCGCGGTCGCGCTGCCTTCTGAGGTCGGACTGGGCGGAGGCTAGGCACTCTCGGCTGAGGGGGTGGAAAATACAAGGGGGAGGAGGCAGAAAGGATGATGACACGAAGCTCGAGCGAGATGAGGCAACGAAGGAGGGAAGTCATGGGTTTATGCTGCCTCTGCTAGCTTCCCGTCTCTCATTTTTCTCCGAGCTAAGCGAAATAGTGAATGAAGACAATGACATTGCACGTTGAAACGACGAAAACATGTTTTGCCAAACCACCGTGAGCGGTTGAATATCATGGACGAATGATGGGCCGACCTCGGGCCAAGTGGATGATTGTTCTGACCATAACATATATCCGATGATGCTGCGGTACGACGGATAACCAGGTGAAGAGATCATCCCTGTTTCACCCAAATCATCCGAGGATGAGAGAGAGAGAGAGAGCTGCGTTCTTTGTACAGTGGAACAGTGGGACATTGTGGAACAGTTTTGTTGGGGCGATGCTGGGTGTTTTCCCGATGTCGCCCGCTGTTTGTGCTGCTCACCGACTGATTGGCAGCTGGGTAGCAGTCAAGGCCCCCCGGCTCTTCGACTCTACTTTGTCTATGTGCTGATCTCTCTCGCCATTGTGAAGGTGCATGTAATTTCCAGAGGCCACGACGCAAGAAGTTGTCACACGGAGAATTTGTTTGCAGGAGCAGACGATGCAACTTGAAGCCACTGAACTCCAGCAAGCTCGAAACTAATCATTCACAATCGTCGATTCGAAGTTACGGGGCTAGAACCTCCCGGCCGACAACCAAGTGCTTATTCATGACCAATAGCCAGTAGTTAATCAAAAGGGTAGTTGCATAGACCTCACCTTAATCCGAACTCTACCTGCGTTAGCCTGCGTCTGGCTTCATAGTGGCACGCCCAACAGCAAACGATGCAAATAAAAATCGAAACGAACCGGGTGGTACATCAGACCGCCGTACACACGGAGCCCCGTGAAGAAATAGGGCAATACAGGTCGATCCCCCCCCCCCCCCCCCCAACTACCACTTGCCTTGCATTGCCTACTTACGTTTGCAACTACTGCATCCCAAGGCTGAGCTGAAGCTGAACGGAGCATTTGGGAGGCGCAGAGGGAACGAGATCCTTAACTCCGTACCCGTTTGCTGACGGTACGTAGCGCATTATCCCGCATGATCCGCCAGAAAGGAAGAGAGGCAGGGCTGACGGGATTGCTCGGTGAAGCAACATGCGAAGGTGAAACGCAGTTGCGTCCACTCATCCCTCTGGCCGTCTGATCTGATTATCATTTTTACAGATCCCTTCGGTTTGTGGTACTACGGTCACTGGCAGTCATGTAGCCAAGCGACAATGACCAAGAACCCCAAGAAGCTCCAGACCCGTCCAGTCACGCAACGTCGCCAGCTCCTTTCGCCAAAGAACATGGGTATTTCCCCCAACCGGTTCAGTGTTTCCGACCCATCTCACCCTACTCCACACCTCTCCCCAACCGAAAGTCGCAGGACGTAATATCGCCAAGGGTGCAAGGTCCAGAGAGGACATTGAGATGATTATTTTTCTCTCTCTCTCTCTTTAATCTGAAAAATAAACTGGCCATCAGCCTGATGGTTTTCATTGTTATCACGTCCGCTAGCGGCTTTTTTGCCAATTGGGCGACCAGACAGACAGACGGTACCTGTCACTAGTACGTCATCCGCACAATGTCCTACCCCCGAATGTTCGCGGCAGGGTTTATGTCATCGTTTGTCTTGCCTAGTCTAGACTCCGGCGGCAATAGACCAGAAGGTATAGGCAAAAAGTAGACCGCAATAGTGCATAGCGAGTGTTGTCAAAGATTGGAACCGAGATTGAAGCTTGGGTAAATACGGAGTAATAGATAGGATCAGCAGCAAAGTCTTGCTTTCTGAACCTGTCGGCAGTTCCCTGACCTTGGGTAAATCAGGCTGCAGGCAGAAAGTTTGCCGGTGTTTGTTTGGACTGCACCAGCTGGCACCCGGGCAACTTCGACCACGCTCCCATGGCTCTAGATGGGCTGGCAGAAAGCAGGCATGGCATTTGGCTTTGAGGTCGCATAGGGACCCGTTGAATTGGGCCAGCAGCGATCCGGGGAGCTCAAGCCGGCCAAACATCGGTAGCTTTCCTGCTTTTCCTTGCCTTCCTTTCTTCCTTCCACCTTTCAGGCCCAGCCTCAGTCGTTCAAGACATCGTTGCCTTGAAAGCCTGAAACGTATCAAACCGAGCTCCAGCGAGAACACCGCCTTTGCCTCGTCAACGTCAGCTCCCTTCCCTGCTGGTCGCCTCAAAATGCGTGTGCTGTTTTCTGCATCTGCAGCTTCCTCTATGCATGTTGGAATCCCTCTGTCACTGTGTCTTACAGCAATGCCATAAGGGGGTGGAGACAAGCAGGTTTGAGCCTCGCTATTGGGGGTTATGAGACACGCGAAAAGGTACCCGTTCTGAATTGTGATTTGGACAAACAGACAATGGGCAGAAGGAGAGACAGTGACCCAGGACAAAGGGCTCCGCCCCTCTCCCCGGTTCCAACCAACCAGTCTCGCCCGATGCCTCCACCTCCTGTCGATCGCCCACTCCACCTCGCCTCCTCCGCGCCGCCCTCATCCTTGGCTTCCATGGTGTCATTGGACCATGTGTGCTTTTCTTCCTATGGTCTCCGTATTTCGGTACTCAATATTTGGCTCCCGTTTGTTGACTCCGTAATGATGCAACAAAAGAGAATAGCACCGAGCCAACCCCTGCCCCATTGCCTCAATCCATCCAATGCGTCTCTCCCCCCGAGCCCAGAGGCCCGTCCTATTAACTCATTCATCGAATGCTACGTCGTCACTGGTTATGGAGAACGCGAATCACCTCAAGTGGATGGTGTGGGATGAAAAAATGAACCCTCGCATGCTTCCAAAACTGGAACCCTGAGATACTGTGTGGCTTTGCTACCCGTCCTTTTTCTTCCCGCCTTGATACTATCTTTGGAAATCTGGTTTTACACGCAAGCTAGAGTCGTCTCTGTTGGAATGACCGTTAACCACGGGAACGAACGCCACAATCTGCCTGGGTTGTGTACTAGCATTGTAGTGTACGTATATGGTGCAGCACCAGAGACCCATGTTCCAGATCAAACGGCTCGAGCTAGTTTGGCTAGTGGTGTATAGCGTTCTTTCCACTGAAGACGACGGGGGGCCTCGGTTTTCTTTTCTCTCGCCTCCTCAAGAATCTTCTGTGGGCACCTGGCGTGACTGTCAACTGTGTACTCTTCTTAATTCCTCGGTAAAGTCGGGAACTGGAGCTCTGGGCCCAAAGGAGTACCCATCTCGCCTCGTCTCCCCAGAATGACGAGCCTGAAGCGAGCTTCGTGACGGCAATTCTCATGTGCGGCGCTTCAAAAGAAAAAGCCGACGGATCGTGATCCCAGTTTCAGGCTTGCAGAGGCCCCCGATGATAGGCTCCCTCAGCCACACATAGCCTCATGGCCTTCTCCAGCAGAAATTGACCTCCAAGCTCCCTCAACTCTATAGGAATGCATATGTTGCCGCGGGGATGACGTGAGGATGTGGGTCTCTTGCCCTTTCCGCCTCCCTCTCCATCCAGAGAAGATGGGGCCGGACGACTGAACCACACCGCACGGTATGGCACCAAGACTACCTAGCCGTCATCATCCACCTCCATCCCCTATGCCTGTTGTGCCAGTCTCGGAGTGCCACCCGCGGTCCGCTAAGTTGTTCAACTACCTCGCCTCCAAGGGGGTGGGTGTGTACACGCCAAGCGTGTGCCCAGCAGCATTGTGGATGCTTCCCCCGGTGGTACCTGTCTTCTCTCGGCAACGAGCAGAACAGCCAGGCAGATGAAGAGAAGGGGTGGGAGGAGGGTGTGCGTGGAGGGCGGCGAGACGGACAACTCTTGGCGTCAAACGGGTCTATCGAAAGATATATAAGACTCTTTTCCATGAGCTTGAATCTGCATCTCCCTTTCCTCCACTTTACCAATCAACTCAGCTGTACTCTATCCATTCGAGCATCGAATCTATCAACACCCTATAATCACCAACCTTAAACCTTCAAACCAAACCAAATCAGTCAAAATGCGTTTCTCCGCTGCCTCCGTCATTGCCTTCGCCGCCCTGGCTGCTGTAAGTTGATCTCTTGGACGATTCTTCCCAGGGGAATTCGAGACTAATACTTTTGATAATAGGCCCAGGACCCCGTTCCCACCGTCACCACCCCCACGCTCCCCAGCGTTCCTGGTGCGTCTGACGCCAGCTCCATCATCGCCAGCGTATCCAGCCGCGTCCAGTCCGAGATCGACTCTCTGTCCTCCGCCGCTACCTCCGCCGGCGGCCAGGTTTCTTCCGCCCTTGAGTCCATCAGCGCCGACGCTTCTTCCCGCATCGGATCTTTGAGCTCTGCTTACGAGACTGCCACCGACGCCACCGCTTCTGCCTCCATTTCCTCCGCCATCCAGTCTGTTAGCGACGCTGCCAGCTCCGCTGTCGAGAGCGCCACCCAGACCGGTGAGGCCCAGAGCACCACTGCCCCCGGTGCCGCCCCCGCCCAGACCGCTGCCGTCGCCATGGGCGCTCTCTTCGGTGGTGCTGCCGTCCTCGCCAACCTGTAAATTTGACCTTAAAATAAGAAATAACGCCAAATTTACGGACTTGCTTTTTTCTACGAGGGTGATTTAGCGGAAATGATAGGCAATTCGGTGTGGTAATGGATATTACACAGCATTGTTTGGGAATACTTTTTTTTTTAAAGGGGGGGGAAGGGTCTGATCAGAGATATCATGATGTAATACCAGTACGACTCTGTACATCAAATGAACACCAACGTACATTTTCAAAACCATAACCGTTTACTTCTTTATTTCCGAACCGCCCATTTGTGCATTGTTTCTGACCTATTGATTTTTCAGCTGACCATAGCCCCCCCTGTCCTTGGCTGTCATCCGAGATTTGTGGAAATAGTGATTGCTCCCCCCGTCATTACGCGCCTTGGCTGCTTCTCCTAGCTTGGCTTGAGGAGAACTAGCCTCGGGGTGTGTTGGATTGAAAGCAATAATGGCGACATTATTACCACTGGGTGGCTACAGTAGTGTAAGATGTGATTGTTAGAGGGCGATTCAAAAGTACGAATGTCAGGGCCACGCTTTGCCATCCCAGCTGTACCTCGCATGCCCTGTTGTATCCTGGGCCTTACGTTTCGTCTTCTTTCCAGAGGCCGGCCGACGGGGCGACAAGCAGAAACTGAATCCAAGGTCTTCCGGCCTGCGGCTGCGACAAACGCATCACTGCTTCGCCCATTGTTTCACAGTACCAAAAGCAAGGAGTAGAACATATGATTACGTTAGAATATCGTGTTTTCTTGAAAAGTTGGGAAAAAGTTGCCGAGACAACTTAAAACAATGCTTGCATTTCCTCCCCTTTTCTGATTGCGCCAAAAAGAAATAATTGTGGTCGAAAGGCGATCGGCAAGCTTCCGCTATGCCTTTGACCGGGTATCTGCCCATAATTTGTCGATAATCTGGAAGATTGCTGTGATGTCTTTCATGATAGCATCGTCCACTTGCCCACCAAGTTTTTGCTGCATTTTGTCCGGGTGCCACCGCACTCGCTCCTCACGCAGTTTCGTCGCAAATTCCTTTTCGCCTATTTCCTCCACCGCCAGACCGTTGACGATGAACCGTCGGACTTCTTTTTCGCTGATGTCTCTGCGTCGCCCGCTCTCCACCGGCCATGGAATGCCCTCAACATCGCCAGTCCAGCCTGACCAGCCTTGAACGTAGTCCTCCCAGAGAGATGCCCACATCTTCTTTTTGCGACGCTCTTCCCCACGGCGAAGGCTGCGCTCCATATCCTCCTGGAGCCTCTTATTCCGTTTCTCTTCTTCAGATTTCCGTTTGCGCGCCTCTTCTCGGCGTGCTCTTTCGTCCAATAAACCTTGATGCGTCTTTTCCCACATCTTCTGCCTCACATGCGTGGCATATTCTTCGTCTGTCATGCGCTCTAGCTCGCCTTGTGGTCCAGGCCTCTCGTTAGAGTAGACATGTATTGGTTGTCCGTATACACCTTCCCAGTACGCCGCACCCTCATCATCTGCCATCGCATCAAATAGTGATTCTCGAAAAGCGGCATCCGGGTCGAGTGCATCGGGCTCGTAGGGGTTCGGTGGCGTTGGAGATCGGGATCGTCTGCGATGTCTACGGTGGTGATGGTGACGCCGATGCGAGCGCGAGTCGCCATCCTCGCGTTCTCTATGACGGTGCGATCTGGAGCTTGAATGTTTCGACTTTAAGCGTATGCGTGACGACCTAGGACGCAGGTTTTCATCCTCGTCCGCAGCTTGTTCCCGCGACTGTGCCTCGTCGGCCGTACTATTCTTCGTATGTTCTGTTGTGGCTTCGTGACTCTCCTCGGGGTTTATTGACGAGAGGATGCGCCGCCGTCGCGGCGATGATGTTGGACTTGTCATGGTGCATGCCGTATGAGCGCGACAAACGAGGGTCGTCGAAATTTATGTTGCGATTGTTTGAAGTGAATAAGGTTTACAGGGAGAGGTCGAGGGGTCGTCATGGGCTGGGTTGACGTCGTAGTTTTGTCTTATCTTATCTTGCGGCGTTGATGGTTTCCTTGTTGCGGGGCTTGGCATTTTTGTTGGGCCAGTCCTGCCGCTCCCGGCACGATAAGGTTAAGCCTCTCCATACTAACAATGCCCACCCCGGACGAGGAAGGTACATATTCCACGTGTTTTGAGCCTTAGCGGGTTGTAACGTTGTCCATTTGTGCAACGGTCAGCGTCCACGTATGGCGATGCCATTGCCCTAACATGTCGTCCTTCGTTTCCCACTCGCTCATAATATGGTTCACCAGAGGCTTAACAGTGCCACTTAACACGGATAGCTGCTACACAGCTGATTATGATTTATGGGGCAAGCATCATCTTATGAGCCCTTGTACAAGATTTCTGTTATCTGTGTGAAGAGATCAAGCAACTGGACTATGAGAACAGCTTCACTCTACGCTTGAATAGTTCAGATCGCTCGCTCTCATTGACTATTTATCCCGTTGATTCAACAGCAACTTACTTAACTGTCGTGAAGCCAACCAGCCCAGACATCCGGTGGCTAGTCTGTTTCCATCTTATACTCTCAGTCTTGATCTTGGTCGGATTTCTGTGTGTACAATCACTGTTCTTAGGATAGAGATCGAGTATGAGGTTCAAACTTTCTTTCGAGGGCCATCACTGCTCTTTATTAGTGGCGCCTCGTCTCCTAGATTATTGCACTGGATTTTTTTCCGTTTCTCTTCGCTATGGTTCAACAAATACCCTACAACTGTTACGCCTAACAGTAATAGAGATAAGGAAGATCTGCAGGCCATGCAACTGGGAGGCCAATTAAGTGCAGGATTGGCTTGTGAAATCACCAGTTAAGCCATGCTCTTTTTTCAGAATGTCTTTGCTTGCTCCTGGGACACCCAGCAGTATTACTTGCCGAACATGCAAGACATTTCCTGCCACGTTAGTGTTGTATCTTACCGTCTGCCTGCTTGAGTTGACCAAGAAGCCATATACCAGCTCACCGAGGTGAACTCTTCCAAAGCTCAACCTTTCACGTCCTTCCCATGGAGCAGACAAGGTTACCCGCTCGCGTGTTGGAGGCAACACTCATTTGAAACGAATGGCCACTTGTCGCGCTCATAACATGGCAAACAAAATTCTAATAGCCTTCCCCGTGTCTGTACGGCCATACCTTGCTGCCTGTTACGCCGCAGGGAACCCTAACTGTGAAACCGAAGACGTTGGTTCTCTAATTCAGCATCGCCATGGACAGCCATACAGCATGTTTGCAACGGTAACTCGGGATTTATTGGAATCAAACCGGGTTATAAGCCTCCACCACAAAAGTAGTCTTACACAATGTTTCGTAAACCTGAGGTTTGGTTTGCAGTTGTCTAGTTTGCAGTTGTCTATCAGAACTCAAAAGCCTCCAATTTGTCTCTGGAGAAGTCATCAGCGCAACCTAGCGACACGAGACAAGAAAGTCGATAGCGTAGGCAACTAATGTCACAGCCCAAAGACGATGAACGCTTCAGCATAAAATCATGGCTAAACATTCTGTTGAGCTAGTACACATTTACCAGCAGCACCAGAAGTTGCCAACCCATGTACTACAAATGACTCGTCCACATAAAACCTGCGATATTGAGCCAAGTCTCAAAAGTCCGCGTTAGAGAGCGCTTCATCGGTCGACTTAATTGCCCGTCATATTGCTGTTGTTGTCACAGTATCGAAGCCGTCGCTTTGATTCAGGTTGTCTAAATATCTCCATCCATTGTGGAATCAAAGAGAATCCAGCTTGAATAGGCGCCATCCAGAGCTGAATGTTATTGCACTGGAATACATCGAGAACAGTTTATATACCATAGTAACAATACGGTCAAGTACTGTGACGGCGTAGGAAAACCCTTGGAGTGACAAACTTTCGCAATCCCAACAGACAGGTTGCTATGGTCTGTTCCAGACAGAGATATTTTGTCAAGCTGAAAGGATCATTTGGGAAAGTCGGCAGGAACATCAAAGTAAGGTTTGCCGTCTCATTGGCTTTTAGACAACCAGCAGAACTGACCGCTATTCGGACAGATGAGCATGTCTGGCAGGCAAAGTTGGTTTTTAAGTCGTCGGCATTGAGGTATCAGTTGGTTTCATTGAGGCGGCAGGTAAACTGTGGTATCAAATAAAACTCATTGCGCAAACTCGAGTTGGTCGTACCAGATCCCTTAACAACGTCCAATCGATATCATTCTCCAGCAGCAGCGTTTCCATTGCAGCTTTGACACCATGGCCCAAGGTGAGTCTTCAGCAACAAATGAGAATTCCGTGGACCATACCCAGGTGCCCCTATCCGTGGTCTGATCAAACTAAAATTGGATCATACGCCCTGAATATAGAATGCGGCCAACATTCTGTTGAACAGCCTCGAATCGTATGAAGTTACAGCTCTCACTCTCAAGGTGATTCATAGTGGCAGCTAGCGTGGTAAAATCTTTGAGGCAAGCTCTACTAGGACAATGGTACATTGGTTGCTAATGTGCCGGTGAGTTAAGATGCTGGTCGAGCGAGAATCGCCTCCCAAACAAGGCACTACACAAGTAGCACTGATACGCATTTGGTCTGTGATTGTATGCGCGTTCTGTGGCAGTGTAGCTCGGCGAGCCGTGAAATTCTAGTAGTTTTTTAGAAATGACATCGTCCGGGTCTCGGCGGCGGATGGCAAGGTAGAGATCGTCACGGTTCAAGGGGGCATTGGGACAACACCCTCTTTCGAGATGATGGGCCAGGCCGGTTGCGCAGGACCGATCGACTCCACAAAACGGGCAAGAGAGGCCCGATGCGCGGTGAACAACGAACTTCCGATGCTATTTCATGTTAGAATGCCGAATGCGAAGCCAAGAACACGGTCAAAAGACCTGGTCAATAGCATTCCAGCAAGAGAAGTCCCTCTTGCAGGGACCACAGTGCCAATGTTGTCCCGCTTCGTGCTCCCATTGCTCATCGTCATCAGAAAAGTATTCGTCGCATTTGACACATTTGAACCTAGGCTGAAAGTGGCCGGTGTCATCACAGTGTTGGTCTCTAGCGCACCAGCCGGATGGGAACACGCGCCAACAAGTACCACATGTAAGTAAACACCATTATTATTCCAACTTGATAGGGCTGAATCTAGGGAGGAATGTAGCAGAGAGATGAAGGGAGATAGTAGCAAGGCAGTAACACTTGTCGCACATTGCGGGGTTGGTTGATTGATAAAGGGTTCACAAACGCTCAGACCTGGGGTAGTTATCAACAAAAAGCAACGATGCATACGACGACATCCGACCAACCACTAAAATGTCTTAGTGATTGGGGTTCGCTGCAAGCCGGAACTCAACAGTCTTTGCCGAAGGTATACTACCAGGCTCATGTATTGACGTTACCAATTGTGGAATCTTCTGTATAACCGCACCTGGAGCGATGTAAGCGCGATTGTTACTAATCCCCGAATATTTTTACTGTGAGAAACCGTGTTGCCGACGCGACTCAGCTACTGAACAAGCTCAATGATTTGTGCATGCATCGGAGGTACCGGATATGTATCGCAAAAGGCCGAATGCGGGACAGGCTTCAATGCAGGCCGTCATAGCTCCCCACTTTTCCCTGAGCTAAACTGCGGTGTGCCCTGTGGTTGGGTGGCCTAGCAGTAGCCGTTTCCACTGCTCGTGGTCGCCGGACCCGAAAGTAGCTGACAAACCATGCAGCGTCACTGTGACCCTCGCATTTTGGAACCTCCTCCCACCACACCTCTTTTGCTCGACACTCGCGGCACGTCGCATCCAGTCCTCGACTCGACTCGGCCGTCCCTCCAAAAAGTTTTTCCCCACCACGATAGGGTCGCCAGAGGCGTTTATTTTTGTTTCCGCCATATATATATATAAAGATTTGAAAAATACAGCAATTGAGAAACGACGCCAATCTCGAGTCCTACCGCAACCGCAATATCCCCAGCGTTCGTTTTGTCTGCCTTAGCATGCACTGACAGGCGAGCTTGGGGAACCGTAAAGCATTCAACATGGACTATTCCGACTATTCGTCGCAGCGCGTCCTGCACACGGGATCGTTTACGGGATTCCATCGCCTGGGATCACTCGGCAGTCACTACCTTTCCGCGACCGACCATATCAAGCAGCCGCTATGCGGCAACGAAGAGGGATGGGGCCCATTGAGTCCGATCCGTTACGACTTCACACCCTGCTTCATTGATGTTTGGATAGCTTCAGTAGCAGTATTTGGTGTTGTCTTTGGAACTCTCGCTATATCGTGGCTTCTCTTGCGCAAGAGACCGTCTGATGCTCCCAAAGACTGGCATTTTTGGGCAAAGCAGGTGAGTCTTGCCCACCCCTGTTTCCCCCGGTTCGGTATGCTGACATGTCGCCTCTTCAGACACTACTCGGACTTATCATCGCCGATGTCGTCGTGCAACTCGTAATTCAAATAATCAACTACCCCGGAATCTGGTTCGGTGACTTCAGGTTTTGGACCACAGTTGTCACCATCCTTTCCCTCGGTATCATATTCGCTATCCAGTGGCTCGAACATGCGCGGCTGCGAAACGCGAACGGTGTTGTCCTGTTCTACTGGCTTTTCCTCTTAATCGCTTTCGCCGTCAAGTTCCGATCCCTCATCTCCCAGCAGCTGTACGTTAAGAACCAAGCCTACTTCATCACTTATACTGTCGGCTTTGGACTTTCCATTGTAGAGTTCTTGCTCGAGTGGTTGTGGCCGAGGAAAGTGAGCGCATACGAAGCTTTGATCGACGAAGAGGAATGCCCGGTTGAGTATGCGACCGTATTCTCCCTCTTGACTTTCTCGTGGATGACCCCTTTGATGCGCTATGGATACAAGCAATATCTCACCGAAGATGATCTTTGGGGACTCGCTAAGAAGGATCAAACGAAGAACACTGGAGATGCCTTCCAAGATGCCTGGGAATACGAGTTGAAGCACCGCAAGAACCCTTCGCTGTGGCTTGCCATGTTCCGAGCCTACGGCGGCCCCTACGCGGTGGCAGCGCTGTTCAAGATTGTCAACGACGTTACCCAGTATATTCAGCCGCAGTTACTCAAGCTCCTCATCGCCTTTGTAGCCTCGTACGAACCGAAGAACGGCAAAGAGGAGCAGCCTGTTATCTGGGGTGCTACGATTGCACTGGCTATGTTCGCATGTGCCACACTTCAAACTGCCATGATTGTAAGTGCCATGAGTAGTAGTATCCTGAAGATGCATCGACTAACAAGTGATAGCACCAATACTTCCAACTCGCATTCGTCACCGGTATGCGTATCAAGGGTGGCTTGGCATCTGCTATTTACAAGAAGTCCATGAAACTGTCGAACGAGGGCCGGTCCTCTAAGACGACAGGTGACATTGTCAACTACATGGCTGTTGATGCCCAGCGTCTGCAGGATTTGACTCAGTTCGCCCAGCAAGTTTGGTCTGCCCCATTCCAAATCATCATCTGCATGGTTTCTTTGTATCGATTGGTTGGTTGGTCCATGCTTGCTGGCATTGGTGTTATGATCATCATGATGCCCGCTCATGGCTTCATCGCCAGACTTATGAGAAACCTGCAGAAGGAGCAGATGAAAAACAAGGATAAGCGCAGCCGGCTAATCAACGAAATCATCAACAACATGAAGAGCATCAAGCTTTACGCTTGGGGGGCTCCCTTCATGAACAAGCTGAACTTCGTTCGAAATGACCTCGAGCTGAAGAACCTGCGCAAGATCGGAGCGACGCAAGCTTTCGCCAACTTTACGTGGAGTACTGCTCCATTCTTTGTGTCTTGCTCAACCTTCACCGTGTTCGTTTTGACTCAGGACAAGCCTCTGACGACTGAAATTGTCTTCCCCGCGCTCAGTAAGCTCTTCCCGCCGAACACCAAAACCAAGCAACTACTGACATAGATCACAGCGCTCTTCAACCTGCTCACATTCCCTCTGGCTGTCCTTCCGATGGTTATTACCTCTATCGTTGAAGCCAGTGTTGCTGTCGGCCGTCTGACTTCTTTCCTCGTAGCCGAGGAGATCCAGCCTGACGCGATTACGATCAAGCCTGCCCCTGAAGAAATGGGAGAGGAGACTGTCATCATTCGTGAAGGAACATTTTCCTGGAACCGTCATGAGAGTAAAGAGGTCCTCAGGGAGATCGATTTCACCGCTTACAAGGGCGAACTTTCTTGCATTGTTGGTAGGGTTGGCGCTGGCAAGTCTTCCTTCCTTCAGAGCATCTTGGGCGATCTTTGGAAAGTAAAGGGCGAAGTACAGGTCCATGGAACAGTGGCATACGCATCCCAAAGTGCTTGGATTCTGAATGCCACTGTCAAGGAAAACATTGTTTTCGGCTACCGTTTCGATCCTGATTTCTACGAAAAAACTGTCAAGGCCTGCGCCCTCATCGACGACTTTGCCCAACTCCCTGATGGCGATGAGACAGTTGTAGGAGAGAGAGGCATTTCTTTGAGTGGTGGGCAAAAGGCACGTGTGGCTTTGGCCAGAGCGGTATATGCCAGAGCGGATATCTATCTCTTCGACGACGTCTTGTCTGCGGTGGATTCCCACGTGGGACGACACATCATTGAGAACGTACTCGGCCCCAGAGGTCTTCTCAGTACCAAGACCCGTATTCTCGCGACCAACGCTATCGCCGTCCTGACAGAAGCAAGCTACATTACCATGCTCAGAGACGGCGAAATAGCCGAGCGGGGAACGTACAAGCAGCTTGTGGCAATGAAGGGTATGGTTAACGACCTTATTAAAACTGCTGGACAAGAATCAGGTTCCTCCTCATCAGCCAGCTCAAGCAGTTCCAGTAGTGAGACGTCTACTGTTATTGAAGCTGAGGGTAGCAGTCAAGAAAAGAATGAATTGGAAGAGGCTCAAGAGCGTCTGCCTGAGATGGAACCCATCAAGACTGGTGCCGCCATGAAAAACAAGCAGCGATCCTCAAGCATGGCAACACTTCGCCGCGCAAGCACTGCTAGTTTCAGAGGACCCCGTGGCAAGCTCACCGATGAGGAAATCGCTGGCAGCAAGACCAAGCAGGCCAAAGAGCATTCTGAACAAGGAAAGGTTAAGTGGGAAGTCTACCTTGAATATGCCAAGAACAGCAACACTGTGGCCGTCGTCATCTATCTTCTCACTCTTATTGCCTCTCAAACAGCAAACATCGGTGCCAACGCTTGGCTCAAGACTTGGGCCGATGCCAATTCAAAGACTGGCAAAAACCTCAACGTTGGCATGTACATTGGAATTTATTTCGCCTTTGGCATTGGGTCCTCGCTCTTGACCGTCGTACAGACGCTCATCTTGTGGATCTTCTGTTCCATTGAGGTAATTTTTATGTTTGCTGTGTCACAATTACAGTTGCTAACGAAACGACAGGCATCGCGAAAGTTGCACGAGAGAATGGCCAACGCTATCTTTAGGTCCCCCATGTCATTTTTCGATGTGACGCCTACTGGTCGCATTCTGAACCGATTCTCCAGGTTTGACACCTGCATTATATCTAGTTCCGCAAACCAGACACTAACTAGCCTGCAGTGATATTTACAGAGTCGACGAGGTCATTGCAAGGACTTTCAACATGCTGTTTGTTAACGCCGCTCGGTCTGGCTTTATCTTGGGAGTTATTGCCATTGCCACCCCCCCTTTCGTAGGGATGATCATCCCCATCGGCTTCATGTACTACTGGATCCAGCGGTACTACCTCCGCACCTCTCGAGAGCTCAAGAGACTTGACAGCGTCACCAAGAGCCCCATCTATGCCCACTTCCAAGAGTCTCTCGGAGGCATTTCTACCATCCGAGCCTACAGACAACAGCAAAGATTCGAGCTCGAGAACGAGTGGCGCGTGGATGCCAATCTTAAAGCGTATTTCCCCTCTATTAGCGCCAACCGCTGGCTGGCTGTTCGGCTTGAGTTTATTGGCGGCTTGGTTATCATGGCTGCTGCTGGGTTTTCTGTTGTCTCTGTGGCAAACCACAGCGGCCTGGATGCCGGTTGGGTCGGTCTCGCCATGTCCTACGCTCTGCAAATTACAACATCTCTCAACTGGATTGTCCGTCAGACAGTCGAGGTCGAGACGAACATCGTGTCTGTTGAGCGTGTCCTGGAGTATGCTCGTCTGCCCAGCGAGGCTCCTGAGATTATTAAGAGCAACAGGCCGCCAGTTGCCTGGCCTGCGAACGGCGCTCTTGAGTTTAAGAACTACAGTACCCGGTACCGCGAGGGCCTGGATAATGTTTTGAAGAACATCAACCTCAGCATCAAGTCACATGAAAAGATTGGTGTTGTTGGCCGAACAGGAGCGGGCAAGTCTTCATTGACTCTGGCACTATTCCGAATCATAGAGCCAACTGCCGGTCATATCAGTATCGACCAACTGAATACCTCCTCAATTGGCCTGTTGGATCTGCGTAGAAGACTAGCGATTATTCCACAGGACGCAGCCCTTTTCGAGGGCACTGTCCGGGACAACTTGGATCCCGCCAACGTGCATGATGACACTGAGCTTTGGAGCGTGTTAGGTAAGTAATACAGAAGAGAGCAGCCGTCTCTCTCCGACCCAATCGTCGAGAAACCCCTCACACCCCATCTTTGAGGGGTTACCTTCTTTACCCCTCCCACAGCACGAATTGGAGCTAATGCGCCGTGCTATCATAGAACATGCCCGGTTGAAGGACCACGTATCCAACATGGACGGCGGCTTGGACGCGACGATTAACGAAGGAGGTAAGCTATTTTCCTTGTTTTCCTCGGCTTTAATCGGCTTTGAGCCTTCGATCATTTCAAATCATCCTTTCGCAGCTGTCTGTAGCCTTGTGCTCCAGAATACCTATGACGACTGGTTAGCTACTTTGGACTGTGTCCGAGGAGAGAATGATAGTCACCTTTCATATGCATATGTTGCCGCATTTAGAATCCCCTGCATGATCTCCCGCGCATGCAGTCGAGGTCTCGTGCTGGCTTATCACATCATGTTTACCGTTTCGTTACGCTGCCTGGACTAACATCCAGATAAGCTGCTTGAAGAATGGGAGACGCTGACTCAACCCGCGAATCTGTAGGCTCGAACCTCTCACAAGGACAGCGACAGCTCGTGTCGCTTGCCCGCGCCATGCTGACACCCTCCAACATCCTCGTCCTTGACGAAGCCACGGCCGCCGTCGACGTCCAGACGGATGCCATGCTGCAGACGACACTGCGGTCACCAATCTTTGCCAACCGCACCATCATCACCGTCGCTCACCGCATTAACACCATCCTTGACAGTGACCGCATTGTGGTGCTCGACAAGGGTGAAGTGGTCGAATTTGACACCCCGCAAGAGCTCATCAAGAAGCAGGGCGTATTCTACGGCCTGGTCAAGCAGGCCGGTCTGGACACTGATTCGTGAGAACAGACTACGGTACCATCGGTAAACATGTTACAAAAAAGAAGAAAAAATATATAACACAAAATTTTAAAGATGGAAGGAGAAAAGGGAAAAGCGCGTGGGCTTGTGTTACCCACAATGTATTGTTTGTATGGTCTATAAGAAAAGAACTGGGTTGGAAGATTGCGTGGATGGATGACACAGCATCGTCAGCCTTGTAGATTTACCCGTGAAGACTTGATCAGCATTCCGTCTACCTTCGTGTACCTTGAATGCCATATGTGTGTGTGTGTGTGTGTGTGTGTGTGTGTGTGTGCGTGTGTATGAGTGCGCGCGTTTGTGCCAGGCAATGTCCGACGGAGAAACGATATTAGTTCCTTTAGCCGAAGTTGGGATAACGTCATCCTGTGCGTCGTAGAGCTAGCCAATTGCCCAACTGTCCACCCACCCCCGCAAGCGAAGATTCGGTTCGTATCCGGCGGCCGTCCTGGGGTCCCCGGCACACCCTCACTTTTGCTGAAGGTGGTCATGAAGAATTTTGGGCTTCTCAGATGCTTAGTTGCGCCCTTGTGTAACGTGAGTTTATGGCTGGCTAGGGACTTTCTTGTGTAACGGCAGATGGGCAGAAGCGGCATTTTGTGGCTCTGGCTCTGTAGCGGGACAGAGGAGATGGTGTCCGAGAGGATGGCGGACTGCCTAGAGATGGATGTTGTGGAACCATTGGTTGTTGCCGGAGGTGGCGGCTATCCCAATTTTTTCGCGGAGCTACTTGTAATGGCCGTGTGAGGAAAGGGTGTCGCCAAGCTGTATTTTCTAGTCAATTGGGCTCGGTGCCTAAAATGTTGGACTCGCAGCTGTGGTTTATCGGTGTGGAAAGAACATCACCGATCCTTAAAAGCGTCGGCATGCGGCGATGTGCCCGAGCCTGGGTCTAGTGGATGGGTAGTGTCTGGGTGAGATATCGAGATACAGATGCCAATCATGTTGCTGGTGTTCCGGACTCTAGTTTCCTTTGGGTTCTAAGCCGTTCTTGCTATCTTTCTAGCTGGGCTTTTGGGGCAGGATTACTGATCAAGAAGCTTCCATTCGGCTATACTAAGATTCTTTAATTTCAGAGCGACAATGGCATCATGGCTGGTTACAGGAATGAAAGCATCCATTCAAGCTCTACGCTCAACATACAGTGTTCTTTTACAAAAGAAAGACTTGTACCAATTGACAGCTTGTCGAGTAATGGATTTACGGAGGTAGACAAGACAACTGTTACGGTTACATCTGTTGGCAAGTTGATCAGAGACACATGCCTAGATGATGGAAACCGGGGATGCCGATGCAGATGTGCTTGTCAGACTCTCAACTGCATGCCAATCGATATGAGGACTCACCCTCCTACTCGGCCATAGCCATTGTTATCGTCCGGTACACACAACTTTTTACCATTGAATAAGCGTAGAAGACCGCGGCCCGAAGGGCAGTATGTACAGAATCGCAGAGCTGGCAGCCGTGAAACATGAGGATTCTTTTGAATGGAGACAACCAAAAGCAAACATCTACCCTCGCACAAAGGTGATGCACTGCAAATAGAACAACAGTAACACGCCAACAAAGCAGTTGATACTACTTTAACAGTCGCCCCAATTTGTGTGTCAACTTGACCAGTCACGCTAATGGAAATGTTGGCCAGGTCGCGGAACCCTCACGTTATGAGACGAAGTAAGGGTTCTGGGCATTTGTGCTGTCACCGGGCGTAGTAGTCTCCCTTTTATTTCATTCGCTTGATGTCATTTCCTGTACAATCATCGAGGACCGTTCAAGATGTTGACTCGGACATAGAATAGTACATAGTCTAGATGAAAGAAAAAGACCCAAAGCTATCCTTGTTTCAAGTTATCTACCTCCCGTGTTTTATATCTGATTAGCACCAGGTGAAGGAATATTCAATTGATCTGGTTCGACTATTTTGCAGCTTTGACAATTAAGTGCAATTTTCCAGGACGTTTATAGAACAAAAAGACAGTATATCCGAGATACTGAGTGTACTTCATATCTTCATCTACGTTGGCTCCAAATGGAACCTAAGATGTTCGATAGGCCCCAGTATGTGTTCTCGCGAACCAGTATGCTTCACTGCCGAAGGTTCGGACTGTGTTTAGCCGAAGTATCCCCTCGCAATAGCAGGCATTACAACATATCCCGACTGCCCCAAAAAGAAGTTCGTGCATGGAGAGCGGCTGGAACAGACAATCTTTAGTCAAAGTGAATGCCAGCAGCTGAGATAGTATCGAAGCATTCCACATGGTTGCATAAAATCTTACATCGCCATCGATATCTGCCCACAGCTTTATCACTCCATAGTTGCCTTAAGCCGCAGGTGTGAATCATCAGTTGGGTGGTCTGCTGATGCTTCCTCAACAGCCGGCGTGGGTAGACAATGGCACAGCCTAAGGAGTTCACCGCCAAGCCACTTCTCTCGCGAACAAAACCAGAGAGGATCACGCCATTTCTCTGTTACCAGAAATCAACAAGTATAGTAGTGATCCAGTGCCCTTTTGACCGAAATTGTTGGGTCTACATGGGATGCATATAATCAGCAGTATTGCGCAGATGGCGCAATTGACAATTGGAGCGAGTCCGCTGGCGCCCATACCGTACAGCCAAGAACTTCGTGAGGCTCGCGAAGGCGATTGAGGTGACTATGCAGCGCGAAATCATCAACATCCTTCATTGAGCCAGCTACGCCTCGATCGCGTCGATATCAGATAGGTGCTCCCCACAGCCGTCACGTGTGGTCAGCAGCTGTCGCGCACCAAAGCGGCGAAATGGCCTTACGGCGTCCTGGCATCGCCGCCACGTCTCGTTTTGGATCCGCGTTCACGAGAATGTCGATTAAACGGACATCGAAGCAAGATGGTGCTGGGCATGAGAACATCGAAGAAAACTCGGTACCCTTAGTGTGAGATATCATCTTCTTTTGCGATGGGATTTGATGTGTAGCTAGTCCAGGCCTGATATAAGCACCGGGGCTTCGCAATAGCTACACAAGCTTCCACCAGCAAGATATTAATGTTGGTTCAATATGTATGGGACTTGGGCGACATAATAAGATATATGGACGCCATCAGATCATCAACCAGAAGATTCATAGAACCAACTATGGAAAGTGGACGAG